TGTCCTACCAATTTGTCCCACCCACTGAAGGAATAAAACCAAAGGGTACGGCTTTCCCTAGCCCGACGAACCTGGGCAACATGGGCTTGGGCTCAAGCTCGAGCGCGTAGGGATCAAATGCTACCAACTCAAACGAATGGGAAATTGCAATTGACTCCAACTGTCCTTCCGTGGTATGAGGGGGAGTATTACAAGCTTGGCACCAAACACAACTACACACATATTGAATAACATCAAGTTGTATCTTTAGCCAATAGAAAGATCTGCATAGCTTTTTGGTCACACAATGATATCCTACGTGCCTGCCTAGAATAGAAAAATCATGGTAGGTATAGAGAAACCATGAAATAAAGGCAAAAGGCACCACCAATTGTAAATAATCATCAGGATCTGTCCCTATAAAATAAAAAAGGCCATCTTTAAGGTTATGACAAGTCATTAGTAAGTGATGCAGGATTCTCAAACCCATCTCGAAGCTTTTGAATCTATGGGTCAATCTTTTGAGCTTTGCGAACCTCATCAAGAGAAGGTAGATCTTGCTCTACACTTTATGGACATTGAATGTCAAGTACAATAACTGCAGACAACACATAATCCTTGTCTAGAAAATCCATAGATGCTAGAACAACAAGCTCATCAGAAACATGATAAGAGAGTGAAAAAGGAAGAGGAGCTCGAGAAATAGAATTAGCATTAGCCATAGAACTCTCTAGGTAGTGAACAACATCAAAATCATATATCTAAAGTTTCAAAGCCTACCAAACAGTATGACTAACCAAGTTTTTCCACTTTAATAATGAAGTAATGGCAACATGATCACTTTTTAGTAATGTTTAACAACCATGTAGATATGTATGAAGTTTCTCGAAACCCTAGACTACTGCTAAACACTCCTTCTCTATTGTAGAGTAATTTACCTTCGCTAGTTGTAATGTATACTTTATATACACAATGGGATGGCACTAACTAGACACACTCAGGCTCTCTTGCATCAACACTCCTCCAAGACGAATATCAAAAGCATCCACACGCAAAATGAAAGTTCGAATGTAGTCAGGATATGTCAAAACTGGAAGAGTCATCAATAACTCTTTGAGATCCATAAATGTCTGCTCACAATCCGAAGACCAAATGAAAAATGACATTAATGACTTTAGCAATGCTCACAATGGTGCAATGCGATCAAAAAGATGATCTATAAAGCGATTGAGATACTGCACCTTGCCTAGAAAGCACTGCACATCATTCACACACTTTAGAGTAAAGAACTTTAGAACACCCACAAGTTTGTTAGAATCAACTTACAAACCCTCATACGGTACCCAAGATAAGTCGTGTTCTTGGACCCAAATACATACTTCGACCACTTCAGCTTTACACTAATATCCCGTAGCCAATCCAACACTTTACAAACATCATGGATGTGTTCCTCCCATGTCCCTTCTGAGTGGATCAAAATATCATCAATAAAGTCAATAATCACCTTTGGCACATCACAAAGAACTTTGTCCATCATCCACTAGAAAGTTGCTGGAGCATTGTTTAAACAAAACAACATCACTAAAAACTCATACAAACCAAACGGTGTACAAAAAGCAGTCTTAGGAATGTCTTCTTTGGCCACTGGTACTTGTTAATACCCAGAAGCAAGATCTAGTTTGGTGAACTAACGATTTATCTCTAAAAGATCCAAAAGATCAACAATGTGAGGAAGAGGGTACACATCTGGGATCGTCACTTCATTTAACAAACGATAGTCAATGCAGAAATGAATACTTCCATTAGGCTTTATCACAAAATGATGTTTATATGCCCAAGGACTTTGTAACTTTTGAATAACACCCTTTTCCAACATCTCCTTGACATTTGCATGTAAAATCTTGATCTCTTTGAGTGACTGACGATGAATAGAAACCTTAATTGAAGGAACATCCCTGGTTCGAATCAAATGACGTGCGGCAATTTTAGCCCCAAAAGATCCATCTTGTTCCACTCTTCCCTTTTCCGATCCTTTCAACAATCTTTGTGTTTTAGCAATTAACCGGCTCATGAAGGAGTATACGTAAGCCACAAATTTTTCTTTTTCAATTTTCCAGCTTACCTCATCTATCCAACCAACACTTCTTTGGACTTAACTAAGTTCCCTTGCCAAGGTTCTTGCCTATGGTATTAACTCCTACTTGAACTCCTACTTGGTTTCAGCTACTCACTACATGAGTTATGGAGTATTAGCCATCCATCCACAGATTCCCAAATCTCTCCCAATCCACCTCCCCAGGTTAGACTAGACTTAAGGTTAAGCTACACTCCTCGCAGGCATAAGCATCCAAGCACACCAAGCCTCCAAATTTTTAACATCCCTTTGTACCACAAAACTTGATTATGGGACCCTCTAAATCCCAAGCCTTGGGTGCAACACTTGCTCCGGGATGCGGGGGGAAACATTGTGGCCTAGCAGCCCAATATGGGTACCTCTACTCCCCCACTTTCATCCCGAAGGGAAGGCCTAAGCCTCTAGGCAAGGTGAGGACCAATCAACTACATGGTACTCAAGTGAGGCACCACTCCACATGAGCTGGGAGCACCACAATTGATTTCCCTTCCAGGAGTGAGAGTTGCTCTTGAGCACTTCCTAGGGTGGCCCCTCCAGCACCACCCAAGTCTATGCTCACTCCCACCTAAGGCCCCTCGGCCCCAATCTCAACCTCAAGTTAGTTTGGAAGCACCACTGGAGAGTTCCTTCAAGAATGGTTCCTAGACCTCACTATCCCTACTATACTTTGGAACCCCCTGCAACACACCTCCCCCCCCTTGGGAGACACACGCTTTGGGCTTTCACCCCTCGACCTGTATTAGTACTCGGACTTGGTCTCGGACTCGATCTCGGACTCAATCTCGGACCCAACCTCAGACTCGGTCTTGGACTCGGTCTCGGACTTGACCTTAGACCTGATCTCGGACTCAACCTCAGACTCAATCTTGGATCTCGGACTTTGTCTCGAATTCGGTCTCGAACTCGGTCTCGGAGTCGGTCTTGGACTCGATCTCAAACTCGGTCCCATCTGATGAACTCTTTATCATTTCTGTCGTGCTTTCGGGGATCCTTTGCCTACGACACCTCAGAGAGTTAGTTCTTTACAATATACCGATCTCTTTGAATTTGACTTAAACATAGAAAGAAGTAGTGGGGAGACAAAAGTAATGGAAGTAGAGGTAGAAGTAGAAAGACAAAGAGGTATGGAAGTGAGGGGAATGGATAAAATATAAAGAAGTATGAGACAAGGGGGAGAAGCCTCAAAGTCACATTTGGTATGATTGCATTGCAACCAATCCATACTAAGGATGAGGTTAAAAGCTTAACTCAGCACTACTCACAATGACTACAACCCAAGCTTGAAATTGCCTACACGCACAACTAGGTCTGCCTCATCTCGTGCACATGCATATGTATGGCTATTGCCATAAAGAATGAAAACTAGCTCTACCGTATGACATAAGTGTAGATGGCAACGTATGGCAACAGGTTGAGTAATAGAAGATAAACTTGAACCTATATCAACTAACACAAAGAGAATAATAGAAGACCTTTTATTATAAAAATGAACTTAGAAAGTAAATATTGGATGAATTAGTGCCAAATGAACCCCTTAATGATACTCCCGAAAGAAAAATAGAAGGGTCATTGACTTATTTATACAAGGTCTCTCTACTACTCACACAACTCCTTGTTTCCCGAAAGCATCTTAGTGTTTAGACTTTCCATTGCAGAACATTGTTGACACTAAAGTCTCTACCCAGGAAATAAAAGTTGCCACTCCAGAATACGCTTACAACGCCAATAAGTGTGACTAACTTCATCATATACCCAACAACAACCACAACCATGTTCTCACCCTTGTTTTGGAACTCAGGCAACAGTAGCATCAATTTCCCATTTCCCACAAAAAGTGGAATTGAAGGATATGCAACAATAAGTGGAAGAGGTGACCAAATGAAAAGCATCGTCAAAAGTGGTTAGAGCAAGTATATACATAACTCCTACAAGATCTTAATAAATTGTTGGTCACAATATTCTCAATTTGATCTACTCTGACATATTTAGCTCCATATGAAGCAAAAGGCTTTAGAAATAAATGCCAAATTGCATTATGGACTCAAATGACCCTTGCCAAAGACAATGCAATTGTTAAAAAACATCATCATAATCATTGGCATATTGAAATGCACATTTGATGACATCTAAGAGAATGCTCCAATCTGCACAAATGGTTATGCTTAAATCATTATCCCACTACAGTGTCATCCCTTGGAGACATATATGAACTTTTCATAAACACCAGACATCATCCCAATAGCAATCATTGTAAAGTGATCAAATCAATAGTACATATCATTCTTAAAATTCTTATGGAAGAACTCTGGCCAAACACGAGGATTGACAGCAAGAGCAATAAGAACTATACCATGTGTTGTGAATATTGCCATCAATTGAGTTTAGTTATTCAATTATAATCACATAGCATTAAACAATTGCATTAATTGCTACTCCAAAGTCAAAAGAGGAGAAGACTACTACTCTGTTATGAAGATGAATGAAAAAAAAAGAGCAAAAGAAAAGAAATGGAAAAGACTAAAAGAAAAAGGAGATCTAAACGATGCAAAAGTTAAATTTAAACTAAAATCCCAAATCTAAGCACTCTTTAGAAACAATCAAAATTGCCCCTCACTTTTATCAATGTGAGTGTATGGAATATTGAAATGAAATATAGAAATGTATATATTAATTAACCCAAAAACTTCTATATAAGAGTGACTTTTATCAATGTGAGTGTATAGAATATTGAAATGAAATATAGAAATGTATATATTAATTAACCCAAAAACTTATATATAAGAGTGAGTGGTCTAGATTAAAACCAATTTGACAGCTACCAAAATCCCATTACATTAATATTAATATATAATATTATACCCGTACACTTGGACTTCACACCTCCAATTTAAATATATTATTGTTTTCTCTTTTCACTTAAAATGAATCATTTAAATCTTATACTAACAATTATGTTTCTCACTCTTCTTTAAACACAAGCCAAGTATCCCGCCAAGTCGCGAACACTGCAAATCCTGCCCGTCACCTCGGGCACGAACCGAGCAGCACAGTAGGGGCACGACACCAACCTGCTGCCCGCGTAGATTGCCGTAAATGTCACCCCACACAGTGGGTTCCTAGAGAAGCTGCAGCCAAGGCGATGCTGGTCTGGTTTGGATCCTCGTGAGCTGCGCTGCCGTGGCGAAATTCCTGCACCGATACGTGGCCGACATAAGCCATGTGAAGGCTGGATATCGCAGTGCGTGAAGTAAGCCGCGAGCTCGGCCTGGCGGACAGGCTCGTCTCTGAGATCCTTGCACTTGAGCTCCATCTTGAGCGCCAGGACGTACTCCTTGCTCTTGCCGATCAGGTCGTCCACCTCTTTGCAGCTGTCCACGATGATCACCAGGACGGTGTGGAGGATGGCGAGGAAGACTTCAGTGAATTTGCCTTCGACGTTTGGAGGTCAGCCTCCAGTGAAGGCCCCGAGCGAGCTCTGGCTCGCGCGGTGGAGGTCGCAAAACGCCGGTTGCAGCGGCGCGAAGTTTTTGATCCCGAGTTGCGGAGTGAGGAGGCGCATTGCACTGTCGAAGGCTCCAGCGGTGACGTGATCGGCAGCCAAGGAGGAGCTTTGCGTCCAGAGTTGAGTGACCAGAGCCCCTGGAGTTACACCAGCGAAGTTCCAGGTCTTCCAGCTCCCAGCCTCCCTCCTCTTCGCCTTCCTCGGCTCCGGCTCCGGCCCTTTGACCCCCCTCGACCTGTTCCACTTCGACTCTCCGCCTGGTCTGGGACAGCAACTGTCAGCTGCTCTTCATAGAACCAATGCAAGCGTTTAGAAACTAGACAGCATGACAAAAAAGAAGTTCACATACTCCACAGCTGAACTTGTCGATCGTCAGCGCCAGAGACAACGAGTGGCAAGCTTGGATGGAAAGCAGCCCAGTTTACACCCTTGTCATGTCCCATACTTGATGACCGCATCAAAGATCGGTGTGAGCCTCGGCTGGAGAGACCGTCAGAGAGCTGATATCTCACAAACGACCAGTCTTCTGATGCAGCGATGCAGGGACCTCCAGTTCCAAGTCCTGATGGTTTGATCGTCTCTAGCACCCTGATGGAACTGGTATAATCCCCAGCAGCACCCTTGTAGTTCCAGACCTTTCAATCTTGTAGTAAGATCAATCGAAATATCGATCAAAGATGAGAATGCTGGTTCGTGACTTACCTCCCGAGACGAAAAGAGGCTGACACCGGTGAAAATGGACGCCGTGACCCATCGTGCTCGTCGAAGCGATCTATGAGAGATCCGGCCGGTGTGGAGACTGGCCAAGATCCATGGGCGCTTGGGATGGAAGCTCAGATCGAAGCGTCAGCATCTTGGATCTAACCTGAAAGGACAAATCGCTCCCCCGATCGGAGCTCGGGGATGCCGCGGGAGAAAACACACACAAATGGCGCATTAGGGTTAGCATCCAGCCGCTGGTTTCTAGAGCAATCGGACGGTCAAAGATCCGCGCTATGGCGCGTTGTGAATATTCGGATTCCCGGAGAATTTTCTATGTGATCACCTATGGACGAATCTCTCGTTGCCCTCGGCGTCAATCACAATCTCGAAGAGCTCCGACTCGGCCTCGGAGGGAGTGGGCCTGCGAAGGTCTTGCGACAGCGCCGGCGACGCGATTGATCCCTCCAAGCGCTGGCTAAACAATTCGCCACTGTCGTACTGGATCGCCATTCGATTGGCGCCTCGATCGGGGTAGGGCCTGTGATTTCCAGGATCCGCAGTCCTCCTTGCGTTCTCGGGCAGGAATTCGAAGGCGCTCTGGCCGAGATTTACGATCGCCGTGGCGTCAAAGTTACAGAGGAACGCCGCGTGAAGAGGGCTGCCGAATTCCTCCGCCCTGGAGCAGTCGGCCTGGCAGGTCATCTCGCCATTGAGCGTGAAGAACACAATTCGCGCGGCGGGGTTGAATCCACAGCCCACCGTCGTGTCGCCGCGAGCTGGAATCCATGGCTTTCGCTTGAACCTCTCGTCTGTGTAGAGAGCTCCTGGAAGAACCCTAAAATCTCGTGAGCAAGTACAGCAATCAATACGCTTTTCTCCTACCGTTTAGAAGGATCTGACCATTGGAGTAGTAGCCGATCGATCCGCGATCGCCAAAAGAAGAGCCTCTGACGAGTCCGATCGCTACAATCTGCTCGATTTCGGCGGTGGAATCCCCAGAATTTTGCCTCGCATTCTTGTCAAGATCATGGTCTTTCGCTCCAAGAACTGTGATCTCGAAGTAGGATTCTTGCGGGTAGGAGTAGATTCCCAGGAAGGGGCCAGGGAGCGGCAGCGCAGATTTGAAGAACTGCGCGCTCCCGGTGGATGAAATCTCCGCGATGGGAATCCCCGGATTGGATCGAAGAATTTGCATCAGCTCGGTCCCTGGCCCGACCTCCCACCTTGTCTCCGCGTGAAATCCCTGCTTCCGATGATGGGGACGATGATCCATCCCATGATCCACCTGGGAGAGGGCAAATGCCGCCCATCCATTCTCGAGCGCCTCGGACATGAGCGCCGGGTAGTCTTTCCAGTTGAATCCAGCGATCTTGATCGAGTTCCAGCTCTGATTCCGCGCTCTGCCGTTGACACCGCTGCTGCTGTTACCCTGATCGTGCCGCAGGTATGGAGGATTTGGACTCTGCCGGTGCCGCCGCTGCTGATCATCGTCCCGGCCGCGGTTTTTCCGAGCCACGCAGATCCTGATGACGAGGAGTAGGAGCAAGCACGCGACGACGAGCGCGATGCCGGCAATCAGCTCCAGCCCCCAGTTTGCCATCGCGAATTATCGATCATCTGGCCAGGAGAGGAAGATCGTGTCGAAGCTCTCGTGTTCTTGCTTGCTGCTGTTCTTCCTGGCTGTGGCGGTGGCGATGGAGGCGATGGATTCTTCCATCCACCGAGAAAAGAGGAAGGGAGGTTAAAGAAAACAAATTGGGCAAAGACACTGTCCAAATTCAACTCTACCGACTCGGCCAGCGGGCTTCGCCGAAGAGAAGATTGGGGAGTTCTTTCAAGTTTCCAGCCAACCCCAATCTAGCAGCGCGAATTTTAGCCGAGCGCACGCGATTAGGATGAGTGATCCAAGCGTGATGTTTGTCGTTGTCACGATTTTTGTCTTTCCAGTGCTTTCATTTGGTGGAAAAAGAACTCCGGAGTGGAACGGGAAAGCGCATTGAATTCTTAAACTAGAATATTCTAAACAGTGTACCCGAATATGCCCATCGCAGACTTTAACTGAAAGGTTACAGGTATGGCTTTTCCTGTGTGTATTAAATTCTCTGTACAAGCAGACACTAGCACTTTGGTTTGGGTATGCTTCGTCCCAAACAAGCATTGGGAGTAAAGAATCATAGACCCCAGAGAGAATGGAATGGAAGGAAAGAGAAAAAGGATAATAGATACCTGCAATCGATTGATCGATCCACTGTGGCTCGATCGATTAATCGAATTTTTCCCAGTCGGTGGTGATGTTTGGAGTGCCTTGCGGTGGAGGAGCAGTGAGGCTGCCAACGCCGCTATCGAAAGTTTCCCATTTCGTGGTCACAACGCTGTTCCTGGAGGCCAGAGGATGTGGGATTGAGTTCTTGGTCTTGAGGTTGTCGAGGAAATCGACGTAGTTCTGGACCCTTTTCACCTGGAGTTTCGAGAGGCGATGAGAATGGATCGAGAGATGGAAGATCAAAACTCGTACCTGTATTCGCCTTTGGACTTTGGCCTCGCCATCGGCTTCGATCGCATCCAGCTTGAGCAGCTGCCGCATCATAAGCTCCGTGAGCTTGTCGAGATCTCTCTCCGGGACATTATGAGCGCTCTGAACGGCTGCTTCCAGAGCAGGGATCTGCGAAGCAATCGAAGAATCAGTAGCAGAAAAAAGAAGGAACTTTGGTACCTGTTCGGCGAGCTTGTCAGTCTCGGATCCCACTTCCGCCACGGCCCTGCAAGCCCGCTCCATTTTCTCGTTGCTCCTCATCTCCTCCAGCCTCCTCTCGCGGCTGGCCGGGTCCTCGACAAGGATGATCTTTGCCTTGTCTTTCACACCAGCCAAATGGAGGTACTCGACATCATCCTTTTCCTTGCCTCTGAAGAGAAGCCTCTGTTCATGCGGCTGGAGGCCCGTCTCTACTGCTACCAGCTTCTTCAATTCGCCTGTTCCATCCAGGACCAAAGAAAAGAAAAATAAAAAAAAACTAGAAATCTCATGGAAATCTCCTCCCCCTCTCTGTCGATCGATCGATCGATTTCTATCCTCTTACCGAATGATGCTTGCGCCGGAACGCTGATCTCATGCGCCTGGAGGCCATGGGAGACCCGGATCTTGATCAAAGGCCCTGCTGGAGTGGAATCGCCATTCTCTCCCTCGCCGGATTGGCGCTTCTGGACGAGCATCCCTCCCGGTCGCAGCTCCCAGGAGATGAGATCGCCAGGATCGCCGGCATTCTCCGTCTTGGAGCCGATCATGACTGATAGATAGATTGCAATCAAACCCTAGAAGAATGAGCCACAGTAAAACCCTGGTACGGTAGAGCTATCCAAAATCTCTCATAAATATGGCCAATGGATTTTTCCCTCTCTTTTCTCTTGAAAAGCCCTAAGAATGTAGCTCTTGGCTAGGGTTCTTCGTTCGCAGAATGCCGAGCTACAAGCTCAAGGGCGTTGACGTGCGCTTCCCCTACGATGCCTACGATTGCCAGCTCGTGTACATGGAATCTGTGATAGCGGCGCTCCAGAAGGTAAGCTCCAGAAGATCGATTGACCGAAATATGTCTCGAATCTCACAGGGGCAAAATGCGCTTCTGGAGAGCCCGACAGGGACTGGAAAGACTCTGTGCTTGCTCTGTGCGACACTGGCTTGGCGGGAGAGTCTCGCTCCGCCGGATCGGGGGAGGAGGATGAGCGCCAGTAGTCAATCCAGTGATCTCGATCCCACTTCCTCGCAGGAGGCAAACAAGCTTCCTACGGTAATCTACGCTTCTCGAACGCACAGCCAGCTCCAGCAAGTCATTCACGAGCTCAAGGCGACGTCATACAGGTTTGATTGATCTCGATAAAACTTTGGGAGCTTATATTCTTTGATGAACTGTAGGCCGAAGATGGTGGCTCTTGGATCGAGAGAGCAGCTATGCATTGAGAAAGATGTGCAAAAATTGCGGGGGAGAGCTCAGAATAATGCTTGTCGTACCTCGTGCAAAGCCCGCAAGTGTTACCACCACACTCGTGTCAATGGTATTTTCCGTTTCATTCCGCAATTTTGCTCTGATATCTCTTGTTCCAGAATACCTCAAAAACAATCCGGAACTCGGGAACGAACCGATTGATATAGAAGATTTAGTTCGAATTGGCAGAACCCATGGTCCGTAAGTGCCAATCTATCTTATGTCTTAAACGTTATGATTAAATATTTGTTGCAGATGCCCGTATTTCCTCTCTCGAGAGCTTCACGGTTCAGTAGACATGATCTTTGTTCCTTACAACTATCTCATCGACAAGGAAAACCGAAAATCGCTAACCGGAATCCGTTGGGAGAATTCTGTCATAATATTTGACGAGGCTCACAATCTGGTATGTCCTTCGTCATGGTTCTTATCGGAAATGCTCATCTGAATTTCTTAGGAAGGTGTTTGTGCTGATGCAGCATCTTTTGACCTTCCGACGACTACATTATCGGCATGCATCTCCGAGGCTGGCCAATGCGTTGAGCTGGCAACACTTCAGCGAAGTATCAGCAATAATGCAGACAAGTCTGGTGATTCTGAAAACTTCGCTCTATTGAAAGGTGGTGTAGATATTGATATGTAAAGAAGCTAACTTTTGCGTCTACAGCTTTGTTGTTGGAGCTGAGCAAAAAAATTGACGACATCTCTTTTGATTCGGAAGAGCTAGGTTTCACACGACCAGGATCTTACATTTATGACTTCTTGTCGGAGCTGAAAATTACCTGGGAAACCTCTACAATGCTAACAGATACAATTGATTCTGCTATCAGTCTCCTACAAGAAGGTGCTTGCTTCTCAAGAATTTGACATTTTAACTTTTTCTTGTAGATTCTAGCGCGCCTTCGGGAAAGCCAAAAACATCAACTTGCAAGCTTGAGTTGTTACGAGATGCGTTCCGCACTATATTCAGGGGAAAGGACTCAACTCATGCTACCTGTTACCGTGTAAGCGTTTTCAAAGTCTGTTTAGAGTAACTTTTATTAACTGGCGAATGCTAGGTACATGTACAAAACTCTTACAGAAGAGCCGAGGACAAGGGATTGAGCAAAGGTTTGTTTGTGTAATCGTTCTGTATAAACTTTGTGTAATATCTATCCTGCTCAGGCGACAAAAAATCACGAACTTTTAGCTGGTGGTGTTTCAATCCCGGAATAGCCATGGAAGAGTTTTCAAAATTGGGAGTTCGAACAATTGTATTAACATCTGGAACGTTGTCCCCGCTTGAGTCGTTTGCCATCGAATTAAAACTGTACGTATATTTTGGTCACGTTCTTGATTGAGTTTTTATTTTTACTATGCAGACCATTCGACGTCCGGCTGGAAAATCCTCATGTGATAGGAGCGAACCAGATATGGGTTGGCGTGGTATCCTCTGGGCCTTCCGGACGGGCTTTAAATTCATCTTATCGAACTCGGGACTCTCCGGAGTATAAAAACGATCTTGGGAATACAATTGGTAACGACAACTTTTTCTTTTTTTTAACTCTCATTCTATCTATTGATTCTAGTAAATTTCGCGCGAATTGTTCCCAATGGTCTACTTGTATTTTTTCCTTCCTACTATTTATTGAACTCATGTGTTGATTCATGGCAAACTCCGGTTAGTAACAATCTCGAGTGAGCAATTCGACTAAGTTATCGGTCACAGAATCAAGTAAATGGACACACGTTATGGGAGAGGATTTGCAAGCATAAGCAACCGGTTGTTGAGCCAAAGGAGTCGGCATTATTCAATCAAGCACACGAGGTGATTACTTTGGATTGCCATGTCCTCAAATTCAGTGTCTATGTTTCAAGGATTTTCTGGCGAAAGTAAAGGATTCAACAGGTACAGGAGCTGTGTTTTTTGCCGTTTGTCGAGGAAAGGTTGGGCCTTGCGTCTTCGTATTTTTCTTCTACGATTTTCGATCGTCCTCGTGTTTAGTCTATTGCCGTTTTCAGGTTAGCGAAGGTTTAGATTTTGCGGATGAAACAGGACGCGCGGTTATTGTTACAGGAATGCCTTTTGCAATGAAGACTGATCCGAAAGTGAGTCCTTACAAATCAGTAACATTGAAAATAGACTTTTCCCTTTTAGGTGCGTTTGAAGAGACAGTATCTAGACGAGGAAGGACGACGAACAAAAACCAGCACCCGTAAGGTACTTGAGATGCTACAAAATCACCTGTAGTAACAAAACCTTTCCAGGTTCTGACTGGAGAGGATTGGTATGTACAACAGGCTTCACGAGCCGTCAATCAGGCTGTAGGACGGGTTATACGACACAAGAACGATTATGGTGCAATCATTCTCTGTGACGAAAGGTAGCTTGCAAAGCTTCTTTTAGTTGCTTTACGTTTGGCAAGTCAGGTTTGCCCAGGCTGGTGCACAAAGTCAACTGTCACTGTGGCTCAGACCCCACGTCAAGGTTTGTAAAACGTTATAATTTTCTTGCATATTCACAGAAACATGCAGCTATATTCGAAGTTCGGGGATGCTGCTTTTACATTGACTAGATTTTTCAAGGACAAAAAGCCACAACCACGGACAATGTCTAAAGTTCAGCAAAACACGTCAAGCTTGCCTGATTTGCCGTGTTTGAACAAAGTTCATCCATTACAAAGTGAACCAAGACAGTCAGCTGTAACGACATTCATTGCATCAGCTGGTAAGAAAACATTTCTTTTGCAAAATTCATTGTTTTTGTTACGCAGTTGCGGTACACGAAAATGTTTTCCTGGAGCGTAAAACTATTGATCCCCTAGTACGTAACATAGTTCCATGTTCCTCTATATCAAAAGAAGTTTGTTTTCACAGAGTAAGATCTTTGGGGCCTCTACAAATGAACAGCAGCCACTGTCTGTGGTGCTTGCCGCGAAACGAAATCAGCAGCTTTGCAGTGCGGCAATCAAGCCTGCCAATCGCGCGTTTGGAAGTCGTCCCGAGCTCGTCAAAAACGCTATTAGCGTCTCAAAACAGCGAGGTTCTGATGAAGGTACCGATCGTGTGTCTTCGCCAATAGAAGCTTGCGAGGCCGGCACGGTCGGTACTTCCGCTTTCAAAACTGCTGGAAATTACATTCAAGAGGTAAGCTTTCTTAAGCTATTTAGTGAGGAGAGTTTTAACACTATGCCAGGTGAAAGCTCGTCTCACTAGCCCCGAGTATGAGCGCTTTCTGGCGTGCATGAAAAGCTTCAAAGACGGGACAACGAAGGTAGAAGATGTCTTCACTACAATGTCCGGCATATTTGCGGCTCCCGAGCGCCGTTATCTTCTTGAGAGGTTCGCTGCTCTTTATTCCATTTTCAGACTTATCACTATTTTGCAGGTTTGGTTGCTTTCTACCCAGTCGATATCAGAAAAACTTTGATGAATACATGAGTGCAAATTCAGGTAACGCTTTTTTTATCGAAAGGGAGGCTGATGCGTTTATGCAGGTGATTGTAAGGAATGCTACTCTGGCTTTCCCTTGGGAAGTCGGAAGAGGCAAAAACCATAGCTGATGTATATACCGTACTATGTTTATGTACGGGCGTCTAATATATACCTTTCAGCCCTATAGCTAAATCGATGTTTCGGATATCTGGGAGCCATTGTCGAGCGCTTTTCCAGCTCAATTCTGGACGAAAGGTGGGTGTCTGCCTGGTTGACGAGTGATTCTAACGTGTATAACCTTTTCTCAGGCGCGAATGGCAACGATCGCAAGCGCTGGTGCGAGTCAGGCTGTGCTTGACAAGATCAACAATGCGGGGCTACTGCGAGCCAAAGGATTGATCTCTGGTGAATGGGTGTCCGCTGAAGACGGTAGAACGCTGCCTGTAAGATAGAAGATCACTTGGGTTTCGGTCGTAGGAAAGCCGGCTTTACGCCCTTTTATTTGGCCAGGTTTACAATCCTGCGACTGGTGAGTTTTTAACAGAGGTTCCGCTCATGGGGGAAAGAGAGACATTGTCGGCCATCGACTCTGCACACAACGCGTTTAAGTGTACGTAAAATCGTGATCGAACTCCAAGCTAAGTTTTTTTCTTGTCTCTTTTCTTTCAGCATGGAGTAAAAAGACATGTTCGGAGAGAAGCAAGCTTCTGCGTAGATGGTGAGGATGGCAAAGGTGTAGTTTCCCTGGGTTTTGAGACAAGCATGACAGGTATGAGCTCATACTTGAGAAAAAAGAGGAGATAGCTCAGCTTATGACTCTAGAACAAGGAAAGCCTTTGAAAGAAGCCCTTGGTGAGGTAACTCTCTGTCTAGCTTCATGGTATCGAGTTTAGTGCTCTATATTTGCAGGTCTCGTATGGAGCTGGCTTCATAGAGCTTTTTGCTGAGGAAGCAAAGCGCACATATGGCGATATTATACCATCGCCTTATCCAGACCGGCGATTACTCGTTGTAAAGCAGGTACTTCACATTTGAACTACCACGGTCGAGGCAACCTGAAAAATATCTATTTTGTAGCCTGTTGGTGTTGTAGGTACGATAACTCCGTGGAATTTTCCCCTTGCCATGATCACACGCAAGGTAAAACTTTTCACATCCAGAAAAATAGTTATTTTTGTCTCAACCTTGTATAGGTTGCTCCAGCACTTGCAGCAGGCTGCACAGTAGTGATTAAGCCTGCAGAACTTACGCCCTTGACTGCATTAGCTGCTGCAGAACTATCCATTCAAGCTGGTATACCCCCTGTAAGTTTTTCTAACGAATGGTGGACCTTTTATATCAACTGTGTCAATGAAGGGAGTCATCAACGTTGTCATGGGAGATGCTCCGCAAATCGGAGCTGCACTTTTGGAGAGCACTAAGGTACTTAACTTTTGTTTTTTATTCTAACACTGTAAGCTGTAGTAGGTTCGCAAAATCTCATTCACTGGGTCTACACAAGTGGGTAAAAAGCTTATGGCTGGAGCAGCAAGTACCGTAAAGCGGGTACAGCGTTTTTCTTTTCTGTATCTCTCTTATTGCTTGTACTTTTCTGCTTGAACAGTTATCTCTTGAACTTGGTGGAAATGCACCATGTATCATACTGGATGATGCAGACATAGAAGTGGCTGTTAAAGGAGCCGTAAGTACTCTGGTTTGATTGTTTTGGTACTTTTGACACAGCCTTTTACTGATTTCTCCTGTCGTGTATCTTTTCCCCATGCAGTTGGCTTCCAAGTACCGGAATAGCGGCCAGACCTGTGTTTGTGCCAATAGAGTCCTTGTCCAAGATGGTATGCCTTTTTAGTACGACCTTTCTTGTTTCTAAGTCTCATTTTTCAAGGTATATATGACAAGTTTGCGGAGGCTTTTATTCAAGCGGTATCTGGCCTTAAGGTTGGAAATGGTTTGGAAGAAGGGGTCACGCAGGTATTGTAGGACTCAAGAGGCTTTGGCGAGCTATTGATGTGGTCTTTGATATACAGGGTCCCCTGATTAATGAAGCAGCTGTGAAGAAGGTAGTGATCTTTTAATGTTTTTCGCTATAAAATTTGTAATAACAGGTAGAGCAACACGTTGAAGATGCATTATCGAAGGTAATAACCCGATATCCGAATAAGCCATGGCCTGATTCTGTGGACTTGGATTTACAGGGTGCAATGCTCCTGGCGGGAGGCCATCGACATAGGCTTGGTGCCGCCTTTTACGAGCCAACTGTTCTCGGAGATGCAACAGAAGAGATGCTAATAATGAAGTACGTTTGCTGCCGGTGAAGTGGATCAGGGACTCCGTTTTTTTTTCTTTTCTTTCTGCAGAGAGGAAGTTTTTGGGCCTGTTGCACCCCTGATTAGATTCAAAACAGACGAGGACGCAATCAGGATTGCCAACAGCACCGAAGCTGGTGAGCTTCATTCATCTTTGGAATTTCCTGTCATTCATTTGTCACATCTTCAGGATTGGCTGCGTATCTTTTTTCGGGAAGCATCTCTAGAGCTTGGCGTGTGGCGGAGGCATTAGAATATGGAATGGTTGGTTGGAACGAAGGAGTGATTTCTACGGAGGTAGATTTACTCGTTTTTGGAGTTCGTTTGAAAAACTTTCTGGTCCAGGTCGCTCCATTCGGGGGTGTTAAACAATCCGGGCTTGGTCGTGAGGGATCCAAATACGGAATCGACGAGTACCTGGAGGTATGATCAATGAAATGAGGTTTCTCGTTTTAAATTTCTTTTTTCTTTCTGCAGATGAAGTACATATGCATAGGAAATATGTTGCCTTGATTGCTTTTAAATTCTTATTGTTATATATGATTGCCAAGAAAAAAAGCTACTTGAACAATTGTTTTTTCCTGTTGTTCTTTCCTATTTCTAATAGTGTTTGTTATGTAAAAAAAAAAAAATCTTTTATTCAAGGATTTTGCTGCTTGTTTACAGAGCAAGATCCTTTACATGCCGGGAGGATTTCCGCTAAATTTCTCATTCTCTCGGGTCCATGTTTATTATTGGCGGGTGATTTCACTTTTGAAAGTAATGATTATTCTAAGGATATTCTTGAAAAGGGGTGTAGGGTTTATTGGCCGATGACATAGCTGCTGCTGCTTCTTTGGAATAGGACGGAGCTCTTGACATGGAATTGGGCGGATCAATTGGTGCAAGTCCAGTTTTTGTTTTCTCCAATTTCACTGATCCTTTTCTGGTCTAAAGGTTCTACTTTAGTGGAAGCTCAAGACAATCGATCCTCACGTAAATGGATTGTTGGAAATTCCTCCAATGCTAAAGAGGAATGCTTTGTTTTTCAGCTTCTCCCGAGTGTAAGCGCCTCGTCGCTTGGATCGATGGCTATGAACGCGGCGCAACGAATCTAGACGACATTGTCGCATCCGGCTTGCTTGCAGCTCCCGAGCGCCATGATCTCCTCGAAAGGTTTGCTGCGGATCTTTCAGCACATCGTATCGTTCTCTTATCGGAACACTTCAGCTTTCGTGGCTTGCTACCAAAGCGGAAGTTTGATGACTACGATTTGGCTACCATTAGCAGCGCGGATTCAGGTACTGGTGTTTGTCGAGGTTTTTGTGTGAAGCAAACGATTTACAGGTGATATCCAGGAGAGCCATGATAAGTTGAAAGCTGCCACAGATTTCATTCAAGAGGTGATCTAGCTCTGTTAACCGAAGATTTTAAGATTGTTGGTTTGATTGCTTTCAATACGCTACCAGGTGAAAGCTCGTCTCGACGCCCGCGATTATCAGCTCTTCATTGAAGGTCTTAAATTTGACGAATACGTGCCTACTGCAAAAGGTATGGTCTTTTTCTTTCAAGGACAAAGAATATTTTTAAAAACAATTGCGTGGTGCTTGGCATGTAAAGCGCGGAAGAGGTTTAAAGCTACAAGCCCGACATCCAGCTGCTCATCAACATTTGCAACAATTGAGGGAGGAGTTTGCATATTGGATGTCTTGAGAGGCCTAGAAAGACTTCAGAGTTGATTTGAATGCATGTTTTGTTTTGTCTGAGATATTTCATCAACTTTATAATAGTAACAAAACAAAAAAAAAAAAGTCACATGTTGCATGTACTAATGTTTGGTTTGCTTAATAGTAGTGTTATTCTTACTTATTAATCCAATTGATCAAATAAAGTTTATTATTATAAGCATTTTTGTAATTTATAAACACAAGATTAATCTTATTGCATATCAACCATTATCTGATAAAATAAAAAATATTATACTAGAAAGGGTTTAATAAAGTTTGTAAATTATAAATATGTTTATAAATTATACATACAAGATTAATCTAAATGAATAACAAACGTTAAATAGTAAAATATCCTAGAATATTTAAGTCTATTCTAGGCATCCCCAAACCAAAAATCTCTCTTCATATTTAAAAACCTTTATTTAAATTTACAAGCATATGACTGATTTTTTAAGTATATTCTTATTAATACTTGCTAGAATTAATGATTTAATCCGGTTTTTCCCAATTCGATGGCTCAAAAATAATTATCAGTAATCATAATATTCATATTATATATAGTAAAATATATTTCAATTAGATCCATAATTATAAAAAAAATCAAAATATTTTTAAATCAAATAGAGTTGATTTAATCATTTTTTTCATTTAAACCTTATCCAAAAAATAAAACAGAAAACTACTAGTACTAAAATGAACACATTCACTTAATTTAACTTTAACTTTATTTAATGTTTCAAATATTAAAAAATAATTCACAAAAATCATATATATATTTTATAATTAAAAATAAAACATTTATATAGAAGAACTTTTTTTATTTTGTGTGGTTGATGATTTCATAACAATTAGTTTAAGTGAATTATTGATATTTATATCTAATACAATAAAGGGTGCATTAAAATGAGATAAAGATACTCCACCTACATTTAAATTTTTATATTTTAAATGTTTTTTTAGAAATATTAGCACTTTTATATAAAATATATTTATGAGTATATATAAAATAAATGTATAAATTATAAATTATAAAAATAGCTAAACTTACACCCTTTAAAATAATAAATTTCTAGCTCAAATAGGTGCTATGTAATGATAATAATAATAATAATAATAATAATGCATATTTACATGCTATAATAACTAAAATGGTCATATAAAAATATATTTAAAATACAGTTATCGTTAAATTGATTTGATTTTAATTATATATATAACTAAAAAGCTTAAATAAAATTAAAACCAAATGGAAAGTATATTCCATATTTAAGTTGAATAAATTTCAATTAATGTTTTATACTTTCTAATTAATGAAAATATATTTATATATATAGCTGACCAGATTCTTTCTAGGGCAGGAATGGATGAGCAAATTCGCTCCCAAGAGCAAATGCCAGGCTCTCCTCGCGGCCCTCAAGGGCTGCCGCGATTCCAGAGATCTGGGCCGCGGCCAAGGAATCCACGCCGAGGCCTCCCGTGCGTGCCTCGATTCCGACATTAGGGTTGCCAATTCTCTCATCGCCATGTACTCCAAGTGTGGAAGCATGGTGGACGCACGCAAGATCTTCCTTGCCATGCCCTTCCACACGCTTGCGTCGTGGACGGCATTGATCCTCGGGTATGCGGTGAATGGCGACAGTGATCTCGCGCTAGAGATCTTCCAGAGATTGGAACTAGAGTCGAGATTTGTGGATCTTAGCTCGCAGGCTTACGTCGCGGCGCTGGTCGCGATCGCGAGCCTGGCATCGCGCGAAGAACACGATCACGCCAAGGTTGCGTGGCTGGAGAAGGCGATGGTCCTCCACTCCAAGGCCGAGAAGAACAACTCGATCCAACACATTTTCTTCTCAAGCGCGCTGGTGGATTGCTACTCCAAGTGTGGCAGCTTGATTGATGCTCGCGCGGTGTTTGATCGAATGCCTCGCCACGACGTTGTGGCGTGGACGGCACTGATCCTGGGCAATGTCGAGAACGAGCAATGCGAGCTCGCGCTGGAGCTCTTCCATGCCATGGGCGGGATTGGGATTGTCCCAAACTCCCGGACGATCGTGGCGGCATTCATGGCGTGCTCGGGCCTTGCCGATCGAGAGCTCGAGGAGAAGAAGAGGGTGGGCAGCTTCTCGAAGATCAAGGCTCTCGATCGAGCTATCGAGCTCCACGCTATGGCAGTGGCAATGGGCTGCGATTCCAACATCTTCGTTGCCAACACCGCGGTGGATATGTTCTCGCGCTGTGGAAGCCTGGATCGAGCTCGAGCGGTGTTTGATTCGATCAAGGAGAGGAGTGTCGTGTCATGGAACGCTCTGATTCGCGGCTATGCCGCGCAGCAGGACGATCGATCATCCGCCATAGCTCTCGATCTCTTCTCACAGATGGAGAATCCAAACCAGCGGAGCTTTTGCGCGGCGCTGGGCGCGTGCGCGAATCTGGGCGCTATCGACATGGCGCGATCGATCCACGCCCGCGTCTCCAGCCAGGGATTGCTCCAGCCGGATCCCATCCTCGCGAATTGCCTGCTGGATTGCTACGCGCGATGCGGCAGCATGGACGACGCCGAGCGCGTGATCGCATCCATGGCGAAAGAATCCCGGAGCTTCGTGGGATGGAGCTCGATCATCGCTGGCTATGGCCGCGCCGGCGATGCCAAGGGGGCGATCTCGGCGCTGGATGCGATGCAAGGCGATGGGTTTCGCCCCAGCGCAACGACGTTTGTGTCGATCCTCCACGCTTGCAGCCATGCCGGGCAGGTGGATCGAGGGCTAGAGCTCTTCGAGTCGATGGAGCTGCGATTTGGGATCCAGCCCGAGATCGAGCACTACCACTGCGTGATCGATCTGCTAGCGCGATCGAATCGGGTCGAGGAGGCGGTGGCGATGGCGAGAAAGATGCCATTCGCGGCAAATGCGGTGACTTGGAGGACTGTGCTCGCGGCGTGCCGGAAGTGGCGGCGCGTGGAGATTGGCGAGGTTGCGTTTGAGACTTTGATCGATCTGGGCGAGCGCCATGCTGCCATCTATCTCCTCATGGCTGGGATCTACGCGGGCGAGGGGATGTGGGCGGATCGCGAGCGCGTCCTCCTGGCAATGAGATCGTTGTCATGCAATTCAATCACAGGATCCAATATCCAAACCAGTTCAACCATGTGTGGAGGAAATTAAACCGAGCAGAAAGATCGAGCCACAAACTCCAAAATTGCAGGTCTTAGTAATGCGCAGCATGCAACCTCAGAAAATCTCCCAGGTAAAAGTCGGGATCCCAGGTGGAAAGGAAGATTCAGATCAGCAGCAGAAGTTTCTAGCTACAGTCAGAGCTCTTTTTGCAAGAAACATTCATTCATACATAACAAATGAAGTTTTTTGCAAAAAGAGCTTAACATGTACAACTTGGTTCATTGCTTCTCTCTTTAATTTCTGTCTTCTTTCTTTCTTGGTTTCGGTTATGAATAAAAGTGGCCTCATGCTCATCCATACATTTAGTTTCTTTCAGAATTCTTCCAAGGATATAGAACCAAGCCGTCTTAGCTCAGCCGGTAGAGCGCGTGGCTTTTAACCACGTGGTCGTGGGTTCAAGTCCCACAGACGGCGAGTGTGTTCTCCCGATTTTGCTTCAGGCAAGCTTGGGTATTCGGGTTTTTTCATATTTTGCTCGAGTTTTTTAATCTTCACTGCTTATCAGTCTTAACTTCTTTTGTTTCTAGCTTTAAGGCAGAGGCTTTCCGCAAAGCCCTGGATTTCCTGCAAAGCCTGAGTTTTTTAATCTTTGCTGCTTATCAGTCTTACCTTCCTTTGTTACTGTTATCTCTAGCATGAAGGCAGAGGCTTTCCGCAAAGCCCTGGATTTCCTGCAAAGCAGCTAGCATCAAACGTAGAAAACGCTCCACCTTGAGGTATCTGTCCGCTCAGCTTGTTGTTACTCACGTTAAACCACCTCAACAAGTCCAGGTTTACCAGGCTTCTGGGGATCTCACCACTTAGCTGGTTATTCTCCAGAGATAGCTGCTTCAAACTCAGCATGCTTCCCATGGACGAAGGAATCGCCCCGGAAAACTTGTTACTGCTCAGTCGCAGGATCTCAACACTGGAAAGGCTGGAAATCGTCCGGGGAATGGGACCAGATATACTGTTGCTTGACAAGCTCAGCATAGACGTGAGGAAGTCGTCTGAGTCTCGAAGCTTGAGGGTCGCCAACCATGGTGGAATGGGGCCTTGGAGACCACAGTTGTCAAGGTGGAGCTCGCCCAGGAAAGGCAGCGTGGAGAGCCCCTGGATGGTGTCGAAAGTGAGTGGATTCGAACTCAAGTAGAGAATTCCAAGCCGTCCAAGGCGGCGGAGATTCAGTGGAAGCCCTGTCAACTTGTTTTTCGCGAGATCGAGCAAAGCCAGATTGGATAAGTTGCGAGTGAAGGCGTTGGGGATCTGGCCAGCGAGAGAGTTATCATCGAGCTCCGCGTAGACGAGGCTGGAGAGCAGTCCAAACGAAGATGGAACACTGCCCGTGAGCTTGTTAGACTGGAGCCGGATCCTCTGCAAGCTGGAAAGGTCACCAATGGAAGATGGAATGCTGCCCTGGAATCCATAGTTGTAAGCCAGATCAAGCAGCCGGAGCCGAGAGAGCTTGGTAACCGTGCTTGGAATTGCCCCTGTCAGGTGATTGTAGGAAAGATCGAGCTTTTCCAGGCTCGAGAGTGATCCAACGCTCTCGTGGAGAGTTCCAGAGAGCTGGCCATTGCTGAGCATGAGATGGATCACTCGGGACGTAGTTTTGTTGCATCTTACGCCCTTCCAGCCTCGGCAGCAGTTTGGATTGGTTTTGTTCCAGCTCGTGAGGAATCCAATTGGGTCATTTGTGATGGAAGATTTGAGGAGCAGTAGAGCTGCACAATCGAGAGTAGGTTTGGCCACTACATCACTAATACCTGTAACACAGAGGAGCACCAACACTAGAAATAACGCCATAGACCTACCTGTACCGCTAGATAGCACTAAAGAGTTGTAGTCGGTGCATTTTATATCCTTTTTATAAAATATATTTTTCAATCTCACGGCTGTGATTTTCTTGTATTAGGGCTTGAAAAAAAGAATATTCTTAATTCCTCTTTTCCCTGCTTGGAGCGGCAACTGGTGAGTCGCGATTCCAAACTGCAGGCATGACATAGCTATGCTTCTATGGAGGGAAGCTCACACATTAAACTTTCAAAAACCTGATGGTCAGAGCACATCTTGGGCTTGCCTTCACTGCATTGTTTGATCGACAATTGGAATGCTGGCACGGATGAGCATCGAAAGTGAAGGAAGAGTAGAAAGAGCCCTGATATATCAATGCAGCAAGACGTGCTCCAAACATCAGGTTTTTGACAGTTTAATTCGAAATGATTTTAGTGAAGAACTTGTAGTATGTTCAATATTTAATTAAGCTAACTGCCAGTGTTGGTCGGAGAGCTACTATCTATGTCATCCAGAGGAACAATGTAAGGCATTTTTTGTCTGCCTCGCCAATGCTGATGTACTCTAGCTTCTTCTTCTCTAAGGAATCACCCATCTCTTACTTCATTATATTACACACCTAGCTTTGGATTGCATTCACAAATCGGGAGTGATGAGATTTTGCATCCTCACCTAGTTAAGCTTCTTCTCTAAGGAATAACCTATCTCTTATTCCTTACACATTTAGCTTCGGATCACATTTACAAACTGGGAGGCAACCAAAAAGAACAACTCGAGAGACAATCCATGTAAATATATATAAAAAAAAGGCCTATAAACAAAAGTGCATCTTCTTTTCTAAATTGGTTAAGTAGGTGTCTTTGGATAAGATTATCAAAAGTTAAAATTTAGGAACTTACAATTTTAGGAATCTTAATTTAAAAAAAATGTTGCTAATATTTTATCATGAATTAAAAGTTTTAAGAGAATTTTATGGTTGATTTTATTGAGTTTTGATTGAGGAGTCAATGAGTTTATTGAGATGGTCAAATAAGCTTAACATCAAAATGCTATGATTTAAAAGCTATATATCTAAATAAATCTGCCATTTTTTTGCAATAATTATGTGCTTTTAATTAACTAAATTCTACATTGTTATCATGAAAACTCAGAGGCTAATCATTTTAAGGAGGAAAATATATAATATCATTAAGTGCTACTTTATGAAATATGTAATTTTGGAGTGAGTAAAAAAGCTAAATTTTTTAAGTATTGTAATTAAAAAAATTTATATAAGATAGTGTTTATATGAATGTTGAGCACTGTACACTAAAGAGTTTAATAGTTAATGAAAAATCAAAAAATATTTTGCAATTTTTTGCACAAATTTTAAACTTTCAAATGATACTAAATAAATTTTTTTGAAATTGCACAAATTATACAAAGAAATGAAATAGTAAATAATTGTTGTTTTTTGGATAAAAAATAAATTTAAAGATGATTTTAGTGTGCAAAGGCTAGGGTTGACAAAATGTGTTATATCCATCATAAAGCTTTAGTCTCCCTTAAGGGGAATTACTTTATGACACTTGATGATATCTTTAGTGTAAATCGTTGTGATTTTATTCAGGAGATTAATTACAAAATTTTATGTAAATCCAAGGATTTAGTATACAATCTTTTTTCCTCCAAAAAACTTTTTTTATGCATAAAAATTATCAGTTACATTTTGTAGTGCATTCTGGAAAAATATAAGTAAGAATAACAATTAAAATTTTAAAAATAAAAAAATTTGCTATATATTATACAATATTTTAGTGTTATTTACTTTTCCATTTGATCACTGTATAATTTAGTTAAGAAGTATAAAATAAAAGAATTTGATATAAAGTTGGATAAATATTCAACACACATTTTAAAGACAATCACTACTTAACTTTTGTAGAGATTATTTGCCAAAATTAAGTTTGGTAATGCAAAAAAAATTGATTAATCTATATATCAGAAGGTGTTTAGGAAAGTTTAGAGATTACAAACACAAGATTAAGTAACAAGATGATAGAATATACGAGAATGTTCCAATATATTTTAAGTTCATCCATTATTAACATTATAAAATAAATCTTAAATATAAATAAAATCAAAAGGTCAATGGAATTTTAATAATTTTTTCTTGGAGCAAAACCATGTGTGCATCAACTCCAAACTTAGCTTGTAACCACTCCCGATTGATGGAGAGACTGAATTCTTCTTGAAGGGCAGGTCCTCGATGGTAGACAAGATGAACTCCTCTGTGAGCATGGTCAGCAGTGAAGCACGCACACAACAAGAAGAGAAGCAGAGCTCCATGAGTAGGAAGGTAAGTGCTCTCCTCATCCACAACATGGTTTCGTTGTTTATGGTGAAGTTTGTGCACTGTCCCTCGCTGACTTGTTTCCGATTAACATGTGGATTATCGCAGTGTGTAGTGCGCTACCAGCTGTTAACAACATAGTTAAGTTGCATCATGCTTCGCCAAATCAATTTCCATCCGGATTCAATCCTGCTGCAAATGGGATTGGGATCACAGATGCTACTCTCTGTATACTTTTTAACTAAAATTTGAAAGATTTAATAACCCTACACTATTGAATTTCCAACTAGAGGATCTAGGAGTCTAGTTCCCCAATCGGAAGAACTTAAAACGCCTGAGCTAAAATCCATTTTGATTTTTAGCTTGATTTGAACATCATCAGTGATCACACAAGAGGAAAAAATATATTGGATCCTTTTATTACAAATGAATGGGAGCGTCCTGCAAACAATTGTAACTCCATAGTTCCTGGATGGAAGCAAGCTCGTCGTCCTCGGATGGAACTCCAACTCTTTGGTAGTAAAGCAAGCTCTGAGAATTTACACTGGTGGTGTCTAGTTTACCATTAGCATTACATCGCTCCGGAAGAAATCTGCCAGGGAAGTTTACAAGCAATTTAGACATGATACTTTCTTTTGAGCAATTCAAACGGAGTACCTTGTTGATGATACTGTTGGAAGGAGAGACAAGGCTTTGGGCCTCGCCATCACAGCCCCTGAAATTTTTTTCTGCTAGACACTTTCAGAGACTGGACACTGCTAGTTACATGTCCTACTAACCTCGGATTTGGGATATCGATGCATGCATTGTTTGGCTACCAATGTCGCCAGTTCTTTTCTCCGTGAGACTCTATTCATGAAAGCTTTATGAACGTCAGGCAAATCTTTGCGAGCGAGAGAGTGCCTGACAAGAAAAGAGTTGCGAGATAAGTTCGAAAAAAATGTGCTTGGAAACAAACCAGTAACTCTTGAAGTGCTCGTCACTCGTTTGCAATCTTGTCGAGCAGCCAAGCACGTCTTTTAGAGTGTCAAGACGAAGGTCCGCGCCAGTTGATTTCCTATTCGCTATCTCGGTGAATTGCTTTCGTGTTACCTGAAAGTAAGAGGCATGCGAGTGCTCTCAGTCACTAGAAAAGGTTATCAACAATGTACCATTATTGTTCGTAGTTCAGTGCTCGAGCCATCCACAGCCTTATACCATTCGTTCATAGCTAATTCGACAGCAGCGTTCGCTCTTTCTACAGCAGACTCTGGCACAAGGCTCCGTCGCCTTTTTAATCGCTGCCTGGAATAGAACTTAAAGGTTGACCACACGAAAGAATAACGAAGAGAGTGTATACCTCAAGTAAGCTTCATCTGTTACGTCGCTTAGATTGTCACGAATCTCACCATTCACAAGGTGTGAATTTTGTAGTAACAAGGATGCTGGCTTCCTTGCTCTTATCCACCTGATCAGACCGTTTACTGTAAGTAGCATGCAGAGAAAGGAAAACTACATGCTCACCTCTGAGTTTCTGCACAAATGTTTTCCTGGGTTTTGCAAGCCTTCCACAAAGTTTTGAGCTGCTGAAGGTTTTGAATCATTCTGCAGCCTTTATCATCAGAAACAAATCTCTGAGCTAAAACGAACTTACGTTTGATGAAACTTTCGCAAAGATACACGGAAGTTCTTTCGTTCGTTGTGAATCCGCGTTTGTGTTAAAACAACGACGTCGGGATGCATAGCTCTGCTGCAAGCCAGCTCGCCCCTGAAACGAGAAAACGACTTCTCACAGATCAAACCCAACCGAAAACTTTAAGCTTGCCATGACGTCAAGGGATTTCCAAAGTTCACATTTTCGCCAGCCAGCAAAGCCGTGATGGTTTTCTCGATGTCACACCCCTGGGGCAGCAATCCGCACAGGTGCTCCTTTTCTAGATCTGAAAGACAGGAGTTCCATGTCTATATAACAAAGACCACAGTAAGGTGGATGCGAGGGAAAAAAAATTCCTGGTTACCTCAATTGAAAGAATTTGATGAAGATTCTCTAGCGCAAAAACTTCGTCCGGAACTTCAACCACATCAGCGAGATATTTGTGCAGCCTTTTAGCTTTTTCCACGCGGGAGGATGCTGCTAATGAGCTCCATGATAGACCAACTAGTGATTGTTTTGCCACGACTTGTTGATGCGATGAATTCCACTCCAGTGGTACATGAGGTACCATAGAATAATCGTCCATGACGCTCTTGGAGGCTTTTTAATTCACTGAAAAGGAAAAAAGAAGAAAAGAACGAAAAGAAGAATAAGAAACAAACCAAGAAGATCACTTAGAAAGAATGAAAGAACGAAAAGTTCTTTCATGCCATGGAAACGAAGAATTTCTAAGCAGGACATCGAAAAATTACGAGAATGCCGAGCAAAATCAGGAGTGCAGCTTGAGATCCAGTGAAATTCACAATGCATACGTACCAATTGTGGGCGCAATCATCAATCGCCCCCGCAAAACACTGCCACGCACCATTGCCGCCATCACTCTCTCGCCCTGCCCTAAAATCTAAGGACACATCCCCGTCAGAGACACGTGTCTCTAACTTTAAAGACAGGGCCGGATGTAGTCGCCATCGCCATAGCCGCGGAGGAGCTCTTGACTCCATCGCGCTCGCCCCGGGAATCGAAACCCAGACCTCCGTACAGGTTCTAGCTTAAAGTACGGAAGGACTCTTAGAATTTGCAATTTATTTTAGGGCTAGAGGAGCTGGGCGAGAGGGCTTTTCTCCGGGGGTAAGTTCGTGTCCAGTCTTCCTTGGCGAAATCCCGGCAGCGCCAGCGCCAGCGCCAGCGTCCTTCTCTCTCGCATCGTCGTCGCATCGTTCCATCGCATCAATCTGTTCTTAAGGTGAAATATCTGGAAGGAGTAGCTGTTCTGGGGGATTGGATTGCTTTCCTGGAGTGCCGCTGCATTACACTCTCCCTCTTTTCATTGCCGGGTTTTAGGTCGCGAGGTTTTCTTTCTTCCTGTATCGACAAAATGGCAACGAGGGCTGTGTGTAGAAGCGTCCAGTTTTGCAAGCTCCCAACCGCCGTCATTTTTTTTTCTACAGGGAAAGGAAAAAAAGTTTGAAGGTTTGTGAAAAATGGCTAGTGAAACAGATGAGAATTCGGTGATTGCTATGCTCTATGAGTATGGGGAACGACTTAGTAACTCGGAAGACAAGTCGAAGGTGTGGCAATTTTTCGTTGTTAGTTCACTCCCAACTCTGGCATGACTCCTAGCAGAATGAAAGTGACTACCTCGGTATCATAGAAGCAGCAAAGTCTAAAGGAAAGGTGAAGCAGCTCGCCGCGCAGCTGATTCCTCGCTACTTCAAGTACTTCCCCAACTTGTCGGTCCGGAGCCTGGAAGCACAGCTCGATTTATGCGAGGAAGAGGAGCTTGGGGTAAGCGTGATCTATATGTCAGCTGTTGGTAATTCTGTTTTGTTTTTGTGATTGTTTCCTTCGTTGCAGATTACTGTTCAAGCTGTCAGAGGACTAGCCACAATTTGCAAGGATTCGAAAGATTTGCTTCCAAAAGTCGCGGATGTGTTGGGGCAACTGCTGATTACAGGTAACTTTCTTGGTTTGTCCGCTATTGTTTTAACTTACGTGTTTATCATTTTGGCAGAAGAACCACTTGAGAAGGATGCTGTTCAGAAAGCTCTCATGTCCATCTTAAGACAAGATGCCAAAGGTGCGGCCTGAGCATTCGAGTTTTATGCGTTTTGTTCTAATGCATGGGTGGTATGCAGCTACTCTTACGGCACTGTTTAAGCACGTTGAAAACAGCGACGAGAACCTCCGCGAGAAAGTCTTGGCTTTCATCCGTGAGAAGGTTGGTTATTTTCTCACTTCGGCAACAGATTATTAACTATGGTAGCGATGAACCAGGTATTCCCTTTAAAGAATGACCTCCTTCAACCGCAAGAAGAAATGGAGCGTCACGTAACGGATCTAATAAAGAAGGTGGGATATCTTACTAATGCTTTTTCTCAATGTTCTTATACTCACTTCGTGGTACCGATGACAGAGCCTACAAGATGTTACAGGAGCAGAGTTTAAAATGTTCATGGAGTTCCTTAAGAGTCTTAGCATTTTTGGCGAGAAAGCTCCGCAAGAGCGCGTGCAGGAGCTTTTGGAAATTGTAGAGTCGCAGGCTGATTTGGATTCGCAGTTCAAAGTAAGGCACACTTTCGTTTCTTTTTCTGCTACTCATTCTCGAAATTCATAGGTAGAGGACACCGATCACATTGACCGCTTAATGGCGTGTTTGTTCATGTCGCTTCCTTTCTATGCGGTATGCAAAAAGACGTTCTTTATTCTTATTGGCTTTTGCTATCTGCCAGAGGGGTGCTTCAAACAGCAAGTTCCTGAACTATATCAACAAGTCGTTGTTTCCTGCCTTCGATAAGGTTTGTACTACTGTTTATAGTACTCGTATCTCATATTTTCTGTCGTGTTTTTTCAGCTACCAGAAGACAAGAAAACTGAGTTGCTAAAGAAAATTGCCGAGAGTGTGCAATTCTCGTCGGCGCAAGATGCCAGGAATCTTCTGCCTACCATCTTGCAATTGTTGAAGGTACGAATGTCGTGAGACCGTTGTAGTGCTTATATGTTTCATGCAGAAGTACATGCCGAAAAGGAAAACAACGGAAGAGTTCAACTATCTGCATGTAGAATGCCTGCTGTATGCGTTTCACCAGCTTGCACATAAGGTAATTTCTGCTCATGTGCTTTTTTCTTACTGATAGTCTATGACAATGTACAGTCGCCAAATTCTACAAATAGCCTTTGTGGATATAAGATCGTGACTGGCCAACCATCTGACCGTCTCGGGGAAGATTTCACCGACCTTTACAAGGACTTCATTGAGAGGCAAGTCATTGCATTGTAGACCAGACCCTTAACGTTTTCAGTGTCTGTGATCAGGCTGGAAGTTGCGGAAAGCCTTTCGAAATCCACGCTGAAAAAATTGACGCAAGGGATGACTAAAGTACCAGCTGCCAAAGACGAGAACGCAAAAGCAGAAGAAGTAAGTTTTCCAGTCTAGAAAATTCCAGCTAATCACCGATGCGTTCTTCCAGAAAGCGAAAAAAGTAGCATTAGGGGTTGGACTGAGATCCTGCAACAACATCACGAAGCTGATAACGGTTTGTAGTTTATTTGCGTACGTGTTTGGAGCACTAAACTGTGTTCATTCCACAGCCTTTGAAACAAAAAACACCAGAGTTCCTCGGCGGCCCAAAGAACTTCAATCCCTCGTGGAAGGAGGCGGCTAAGCCCGCCGCAGCCGCAGCCACAGCAACACAGGCTTCCACGCCAGCCAATTCGGGGTAAGAAAAGCTCTCCTTCCAATGAGTGCTTTCTTGAAATGTCTTCGCCTCTCTTTTGTGCACAGAGCCAAGCGTCCAGCAGCTGCAAACAATGGAGCGACCACAAAGAGGGCTCGAGGCGAGCAACATCAACACCAACAGCGTCAACCCGAGCAGCAGCACCTCGTCAACAAGGCCTTCGCCGGAATCTCTCGAGGCGGAGGTGGTGGTGGCGGCGGAAGGAGGCAGTGGCGAGCTGGTCGTGGGAGAGGCAGGAACTACTATTGAGCGAGGTCCGTCTTTATCACTCCTTGGTTTTTCGAAGAAAACGAGACGAGACAGGAATTTACAGGAAAGTATTCCATCCGTTAAAAGACTAACAAAGCAATCGTAGCAAGGCTTTTTCCGGTGAAGAGAAGCTGCTGTCATTTCTCTCATTTTGTATATTCCAGATCGAAATTTCAGGCTGTGTGTTCTTCACTTGGTAAATCTCTTTACTTGATTCTATGGTTTTTCCTTCTCATCACATTAGATTGATCCAGGTAGCATGGCTTGGAAGTCCGGCATGGACGACGAAGAGCATATAGTAACCGCTGGGAGCAACGCTGGCGCTGCGAGGAGCCGTGGTCTCGATCTCGTAAGTTGGGACTCGGCCAGAGATGGAGGCTGGAGCATCGTCCACGAGCGTCACATTGTGGAGTGGTAGCCGTATCATTCTCTGGCCCATGGAGACCGCGTGGCTGGCAAAAGGTGGCGCGAGCAGTGCGACGCCGGTGGTACCGGGGAAGAAGTGTCCTCGCAGGCGGTACCGCACGGTGAGCCGGGTGCCGTGGGCGGGGCTGGCGGTGCTGACCGAGGTGACGCTGGGACGCCGCGCGGCATAGTCCGAGTCGAGATAAGGCGGAGAGAACACCTCGAGTGAGACATCGGTTGGATAGACCCCGTCGGTGGCAGTGGCAAACGAGTACCGCCCGTTTGGATTGCTACCGCCGACGAGGACGCTGGCGTCTGGAAGGAGGATGGCGGATGAGTGGTGGAGCCTCGGGCGAGAAGCGGCGGTGAGCGTCTGGAACCGGTTGTAGAGCTTCAAGTTTGGCTTGTAGAGCACTGGATGGAGTGCCGGGTTGCGTGCGCTGCGCCACCCGGCGGTACCGCGCTGTGCGCCGTTGATAATGAGTACGTCACCGGTTGGAAGCAAGAGCATGTCGCCCATGACGCGCGGCATCGGCATGGCCTCCATCGCCCAGCTCGGCGACGCGTCGCCCAATTTGATCCTGCCACAGTTTTGCGACGCGTTGAGGAAGTTCCCCCGACTGGCCTGCGCGTAGTTGTATGGATCGGCGCCTCCACAGACGAGGATCTGCGCGTCCGAGTAGTCGGACGCTCCCTCGAGTGCCAGCATCACTGAGGAGCCCGAGGACGGGTAGTTTCGAGCCTCGAGGCCTGGCATTCTGGGAAACCTCTTGACGACTTTGCCGGTCTTGTAGTCGAGGAGAATGGAGTCGGAGTTTGCGAACACGAACAGGTTCCCATCCGGTGTGAGATGGACGAACGGGTAGAGGTTGTCCTGCGATAGATCGTTGGTCTCTGCCAAGAACGAGAGCTCGTGGACGCCTTCGTTGTCCTGCCTGGGGACGAACTCGTAGCTAAACTGTCCGCGGCCACCGACGACAATAACGCGGTTGTCCGGCAAGAGATGGCTGCTCGAAAACCGCCGCTTCACCGCGAGCCTCTGGCGTGATTCAACCCAGTCGCATCTCTGGCAGGCGGCGAGGTGTCGCACGGTCTGTGAGCCATTGTTGAGACCACCAACCTGCACAAGCGTACCGTCTGCTATAGTGACCGCCGACGAGCACCAGGTGTCTGTGTAGATTGTTAGCGGCCGGATGGTGTTGGTAGCGACGTCGTACTCAACCGAGTGTGCGCTGCAGTCGAGCTTCCCCGGGATTCGACTTCCGGTGTTCTTGCATTCTCCACTCGGCTGGCTGATGTTGGAAGGACCCGAGCTGAAGCCGTCGAAGAGGATCACCTTGTTGTTGTGCGTGAGAACCATGTGCATTGCGGAGATTCCTGCATTGTCCACCAGCAGCTTCCATGTCCCGGGGCTTCTCAGCTCTGCTGATGTTTCTTGCGCGTAGACAAGTAGGAGAATTGCTAGAAGAGCTGCTACTCTTCCCATCTGTAGAGAAGTTAGGAAAACAGCAAGAAAGGGGTGATTTTTGGCCTACCTTGACTGGGCTTCTCGATTGAGTATGAGTGTCGCGTTTCTTCTTTACACGCATTGCCACCATGATGATGTTTGTGTCCTCAGTGATTTAAACGCTGCTGCGATTGAGAAGCGAAGTCAATTTCGAGGCAGAAGGCAAAGGATGTTGACAGAGACCCCTGCTTCCTGATGAATTACCGCTGTAGCTGACAGCTCCGCTACAACAAAGACGAGCTAAGGCCAAGTAAGAAGCATAACAAACCTTCCCATGCTAAAGTAAAGTGTTTACCCACTGCAAGTCTGGATTGATGGTCCACCATTCCCATTCACGGACTGTCTCCTCCACTTTACCTTTAATAATAAAACCCGAAAAAAAAAAGCGAACCAGAGCTCGCAGAGTTGTGGCACATGTCCAGTACTTGGACTGCTGTAAAGCAATTGCTAGTTTGCAACTCGAAGCAATGCTTACTTTTGTTCTTCCCGCAAAACAGGAGAATTAATCTGTAAAGAATCTGTTAATCGGATAACTCCAAAGCATTGGAAATCGTTACCTGAACGTAGTACTACAGCCGCACGTACATTCTCAGGATTCCAGCTGACTCTCCTTTCGTTTCACCGTTTGATCCAGAATGTCTATTCTTCGACTTGAGAGTTCAATGTATTGCCCCAGCTTGTCTAATGCTTGCCTCATAGTTCGCATTTTACTCTCTGGAACCGCAAGCTTTGGGCTGTTCCGGCGCCCAGCACTGTTAAGATCGACTTTCTTTTTGGCAACACGTTCAGCGCGCAAGGTAAGTGATTCCACTGCAGACTGTAGGATATCGACGTCCTGATTCATTTTTCTATCTGCGTCACAGAAACCGTAAGGGTCAGGCGAATATGTTTTCCGTATATATGTGTGGCATACCCAGAAGATCTTTGAACTCCCGCTCTGCGACTGTCAGAACCTTCTGTTTTAAAGCTGGAAGCTTGTTGCATTCCCGAATTCGCTCCTGTAGCTGCACGTTCTTCTCAAATGCTCGCTGTATGCGAGTTACGAAGGAGTCCAAGTTACTTTGAGCTTGATCAAGCTCGCCAGTCACTTGACGCAGCTGCCTTTGCAGATCTTGAACAACGTGACCGAGGTACTTATGATGAGACTTGAGCTCGACGTGCACCTGTTTCGTCATATCATAACTAAAACCATGAAACATCAAACGTAGAAAAGCCATACCCTGTGTGCATACTCAATATATTTTTCGTGCAGCAGCTTGCCTTGATCGTGAAGGATGGAGCGACCTTCAACAGTATTCAAAGTAAGAGGTGTAGAAGCCGAAATCTGCACAGAATATAAGACATGCATCTCAAGGTGCGAATCAGTTGTACCAGAGGGATGTGTATATCTTTCGGTCCGAGCAGCAAATCACTGCTGATAAGCTTGAGCGAAGGTTGGTCGGAGTTTGTCGCTGGAATACTGGTGTCCTCGATAGCGACTGGAGGAAGAGGTCGATGCGGTTTCATGTGTACAACAGCACAGTTTCCCGAAGCTGTAAGAACCACCAGCCATGTATCGCCGGAAGACTGGAGAATTACAGTAGCACCGAGAAGAGGAACAGGAGCAGAGTTTCCTGTGGCCGATGTTTCGAGAACTGGAAACACAATAGGCGGTTCCCTGCTCTCACCAGAAAACGTATCTGAAAATGGTAGCCACTGAAGCTGGATGGTGTCGAGTCCCATCGCATGATGACAATATATCCGCTCGGGGACAAGAGGGTCCGAAAATATTCCCAAAGGACTGGCATTGTAAACCTCTGTGTCCAGTGCTAGATCAACCGACGCCAAATGCAAAAGGGGTGGATTCGGTCCTATAAACTGCTCCTCTTCTTTTTCTTCCGTGTCCTCGTCAGCTGTTTGTGCGGCGTCATTTTTCTCTGCGCCCGGTTCCACGAGCATTGCCAAAGTTACCAAATCGCCTAGATCGTCTTGGAGAAGTTTGGGGGTGTTGTCCAAGCTCCACATAGGATGGACTTCATCGGCAATCGCATAAAAGAACATCTCCCCGTTTTTTGTGCACACGGTAATGACGCTATCCTTCCCAGCGGTATTATACAGCATCCCAGTGGCATAGCTCGATATTTTGTGATCATTCTCACGTCCAGATAGTTTGGGAAGAGGCCCCTGCGCACAACATACTATAAGAACCGGGAAGTAAAGAAAAAATCAAGTGGCATACCTGCAGCACCAACGACGCATTGAAGGGAACCTGGGGACGAGCTCTAAACACTGACGAGGTTTCCAGCTCTTTTTCAGTATCACCAAGCTCCGGGAAGACAATCTCGAGCCAAACAGCTGCAAGCCTCGAGCTTTCCTTTGCCGTGGGAGAGTTGTTCGACACTTGGCCGGCCAGATCTTTAAGACTCGAACCATAATGAAGGCTGCAAAAAGCTTTTGTAAATCACTGACTTCATACTCTACGCATTTTTACCTTCCAAATGGCACTATGGGACAAAGAGCATAGATCGATGCATCCGTAAGAAGAACAAAAACCTTGTAAAAATTATTGATGATAGAAGTTTCGTACCCTGAGGAAAAACCAACTTCTTACCGTAAACCGGTCCCAAAAGTGTTCACCGCCGAAAGCAAATGATACCGCGCGACAATATGGTTTGGAGCGAGCACCAATCTGCAAGTGGTACTCTTGTTCTGGCACCGTGATATCTCCAGCTAAGTTGTATAGTCTGGAAGGGAAACTCATTACCTCAAGCGCTGGCACTACTGACGAATTCATACCTGAAAACCCCGTCCGAGGATAGCACTCCAAGGTGCGTTTCACTGTAAGGATGCCAAGCGGCATGAAGTACTCGCAGAGACCGGCCATTAAACATATCCCCAGCGATCATTCCAGATCTGCCAAAAAGAAAGAAGAGTAATCAAGGAAAAACAACGCTGTGGATGATGACAAACTTACCGGCATGGCTGTGAAGCTTGAGAGACCACATTCACGAACATAAGAGCTCTTTCACCAGCCAGTAACAGCAGCTCTCCCGTTCGATTCAGCTTGAGACTCCTCACAGCAAAGGAAACGTCTGTGCTGAGCTTCAAGGTCTATCTACATTCTCATCGATCAACAAGAACACCGAAGAAAATGGAGGAAATTTTGAGCTCACCTTGCTCTCACTCGCTGCATAGAGGGACTCCGACTGATCATCGAGGGTAGAATCCTCGATCTGGAGAGAATGGAGTAGCCGGTGCTCGAGATCCCACATGAAAATGCGACCAGCGCCATCGTACGCCAGGAGATTGAGGGGCATGAATGCCGCCTCAGCTGCTGCGAGCCCAGCAGGATCGATCGCCATCGACTTGAAAATACCGGCGCCTTCCAGCTTCACTCTCGCCATTTTGTGGAAGAACCCTAAACCCCGTGGGAGGGAAGAACTAGGGTTTGTAGAAAATGAGCGTGATCTCGCCATACAGGGCCGGATTCCAGCTCGTTTGATGGAGTAGAATGCGGGTGCGTCGGAGATCGTTAATTTTCTTGGAAGAATCGGGCTCCAAGGGATCAAAATCTTCGCAATGGAGTAGAGATTTTGGATGAAAAATGCGGGTGTGGAGATCTTTCGTTTTCTTGGAAGAATCGGGCACCAAAGGATCAAAATCCTCTTCGCTGGTCGCAATCTCTGCCATATCAAGTCGATACACATTTCACAGGTATAATCTCGCTGTTCTTCGCGTTTTCTTATCGATTTCTCTTGGTGCTCTTCCAGTGGTCTTCTGGAGAGCTTGCAAGCCGTAATGTGGCCCACGGGCGGTGTGATTCTTCTCGCGACGAGGTAAGAGCTTCTTTGCTGGCTGCTATCAAGGCATGCACAGTGTCGAGAGACTTAGACAAGGGGAAAGTCTGTCACGCAGATGCTACAAAGACCGGGGAAGCCTCAAACTTCTTTGTGGCTAGCAGCCTTCTCAACATGTACGCCAAGTGTGGCAGCATGGAAGATGCTCGCAAAGTCTTCGACTCCATTCCTCGCCACAACGTCGTGACTTGGAACACTTTGATCCTCGGCTATGTGGAGATCGGTGAAGAACAAGTAGCTTTGGATGCTTTCCATCGCATGCAAGCTCAAGGGTGTGTTCCCGACGCGAGAAGCATTGTTTCTGCGATCAAGGCGTGCACTGGTCTTGCAGCCAAGGAATCGCCCAAGCAAGTAAGCTTTTTTCTTTTCTTCTTTCGCTTCTAGCTAACTTGGAAAATCAATAGATCGGAGAAAAGCTTGTGAAAATCGAGGCTTTGCAGAAGGGCCTGGCTATTCACGCTCAAGTTCGACGCAGCACTGGCTTACAAGACGTTTTTGTCGCGAGCACTCTCGTCAGTATGTATGCTAGATGTGGAAGCTTGGAAAACGCTCGGATGGCGTTTGAGAAGATGCCTTGTCACAACGTCGTTTCCTGGAACGCTATAATTCTTGGGACAGTGGACAACGGAGAAGCAGAGGCGGCAGTAGAGCTATTTGCGAGAATGCGGCAGACTGGAGCTCCACCGAATTTTCTTACGTTCGTCGCGGCCCTGAAAGGCTGTGCGAACCTGTCAGGGGACGAGACTCAAGTCAGTGGAAGGCCGTGTAAGCTCCGGGTTTTAGAGACGTGCATGGATCTCCACAGTGAAGCTGCGAAGTTTTGCTGCGACTCCAACATATTTGTCGCAAGCTCGCTGGTCCAGCTCTACGCAAAGTTGGGAAGCATGGTGGATGCTGGAAGGGTGTTTGAGAGAATGGCGTGCTGCGATGCCGCTACTTTCAATGCCTTGGTGCTGGGGTATGTCGAGAATGGAAAAGAGCAGCTTGCTCTCGACTTGTTTGCAAGGATGGAAGCTATAGAGTCCGGGACCAACGCGCAGTCTTTCGTTGCGGCCTTGAAGGCTTGCGCTATTCAGGCAGCTATGGAGAAAGGAAGGAAACTAGATGGCAAACTCGTGAATAACGAGACTCTGAGAAAATGCGTCGACATCCACTCTCGAGCTGCCGAACGGGGATACGAGTCGCACATGTTCGTGGCCAGCAGCTTAGTGGATTTGTACGCGAAGTGTGGTGACGTCGCTGCAGCTCGCAAGGTTTTCGAGAAGATGGTTTGCAAAGACGTGGTTTTGTGGACGTCGATCATGCTGGGACATGCTGAAAATGGAGAAGGGGAACAGGCAATGGAGCTTTTCCAACGCATGAAGTCCGAAGGGTGTGCTCCAGATGCTCTGACGTTCGTGGCCGCACTCAAAGCTTGCATTGCTCTAGCATCGAGAGAGGAGTCCAAGGAAGTGGATGGAAGGCTTGTGAGGACCGAGTCACTGCAACTGGGAACCGAGATATACTTGCAAGCCGTCAAGAGCAACTTCCACACTGACATGCTCGTCTCAAACACCGCGATGGATTTTTATGCCAAGTGTGGGAGCATGCTGGATGCGAGAAGGGTGTTTGACGGCATGGCTTCACGCAGCGTCGTCTCCTGGACAGTGATGATTCTCGGCTATGCTGAAAACGGGGAGGGAGAGCTAGCCTTGGAGTTTTTCGAGCGCATGAAAACTCAAGGCTGCTCTCCAAACTCTCGGACGTTCGTTGCAGCATTTAAGGCCTGCTGCTGCCTAGCAGAAAAAGAAGAAGCCAAGCAAATCAACGGAAAGCTCGTGAAGGTGAAAACGCTGCAGAGAGGAACGGGGATTTACTCTCAGGCCGTCGAGAGCTGCGGTGACTCTACCAACATTTTTCTCGTCAACACGGTGTTGGATATGTTCGTGAAGTGTGGAAGCATGGCAGACGCACGGCAGCATTTCGAGAAGATGGAAAACAGGGATGTGATATCCTGGACTGTGCTGCTGCTGGGATACGCCGACACCGACGAGTTTGAGGTCGTGCTAGAGCTGTTTGCGGGGATGCGAGACGAAGGCATCACTCCAGATCCTCTCACTTACGTCGCTGCTTTCAAGGCCTGCGCTGGCCTGGCGTCGAAGGAAGAGCCGAAGCAAATGGATGGCATGCTCGCAAAGCTCGGATCACTAGACAAGGGGATGGCTGTCCATTCGCAAGCCGCTAGTGGAGGCGACGACACGAAGATCTTCGTGGGAAACACGCTGGTGGACATGTACGCAAAGTGCTGGAGTGTGCTCGACGCTCGTCGAGTGTTCGACAAGATGGAGTCCCACACAACCGTCTCGTGGAACGCCTTAATCCAGGGATACGCCGACGGCGACCAAGGTGAGCTAGCTCTCGAGATCTTTTTCTGGATGCAAGCTAACGGGTTTGAGCAGGATCCCCGGACTTTGGCCGCGGCGCTCAAGGCCTGCGGTAGCGTCGTCGCCATGGACACCGGCAAAGCGATCCACGCTCGTCTCTCCCGTCACGGCCTGGAAGACGATCCAGTTCTCGAGACATGCCTGGTCGACTTCTACGGTAAATGCGGCTGCATGGTTCATTCCCGGCATGTCTTTGACAAGCAAACTCGCAGGGACTCGGTGGCTTTCGCGGCGCTGATCTCGGGATACAGCCGACAGGGAGACATGGAAGACGCTGCTGGAATGTTTCGGCAATTGCGGCACGAAGAACTGAAGCCCGAGGCCGTGACTTTCGTGTCGCTGCTCACTGGATTCAGCCACGCCGGCCTGGCCGATCGAGCAAAGAGCTACTTCCACGCGATGGAGCCGAGGTATGGAGTTCCTCCAGGCATCGAGCACTACGTTTGCATGGTCGATATCCTTGGCAGGAACAACGAGCTCGAATCAGCAGTGGCGATGGTGGAGTCGTCCAAGCTCTTGGAAGAATCGCCATCGAATTCTTCCGTGGCCTGGACGGCGATTCTCAGCGCTTGTCACAAGTGGAAGAATGTGAAGATCGCGAGGCTGGCCTTCCAAAACCTCCAAAGGCTGGACGCGGCGTACGGACCGGCGTACGTCCTCATGGCCAACATCTATGGCGGAACCGACGACTAGGATTTAATAGAGTAAATAGCGGGGCCTTTAGAAGATTCGAACCTCCACTTTCCCGGCTATTATTTAAAGGAACCAGTTAAAAAACAAAGCTAAAGGTAGGGCTCGGGGGCCCCTCCCCTTTTACTTGTCGCGCTTAAAGACCACACGAGGGCGTCTTCGTCTGGCTGGTGCCTGCTCAGCGCCATGGCGGCCATGGATTGATCGAATACGCGCTGTTGCCTCCGATCGCTATCGATTCTCGCCTCCCCGCCGTCGCTATCGATCGGTCTAGCAAGTGCGCGGCGAGTGGAGCAGTGTGGGAACAGGGTTTAGGGCAGGGAAATCTCGCTCTCCAGCTATGGCGAGCAATCTCTCCTTCTGGGAGCTAGATCCTTTCTTTCCAGCTGCGGAGGAGGTGCAAAACTCGACCGACAGGTAAGATTTCTTGCTTTGGAGCTCCAAAGAGTGATTGGATTCATGGGAATGAGCATTCTTGCAGGATGGAATCGATTTATCGTGCTTGGAAATACACCCAGGGCGTTGCGCAGGAGACTCCGGAAGATTCTTCGATCATTGCGGCGGTGAAAGCGAACAAGCGCGACCTTATCACTGCTCTCGACACGGTCAGATGGCAAGTAAGTCGATTCAACCTTCTTCCCTTTTAGTCTTTCTCCTTTTCCTGGAACTTACTTTCCAGAACTTTAGAGCGTCTTTTTTCTCTGTCAGTTATTAAGTTTCGTTTCTTTCCAGTTGGAAGAATTCGCGAGGGCAGTGAAAGTCGCAACGAATGCTGCCGCCGAGCGTGTCTACCTGGGCGAGGATGCGAAATCTCGTCACACCCAGTTCGTGAACGCGATCCAAAGCCAGGTGTGTAATATGGAGAAAGAGATAGGCGATTCCTTAGAGAAGAAGAAGCTCAAGTACGCGAGCATTGGTGAGGCGGACAGCAAGTGCCTCGCACTGTTCCTATCGGGTAGTGACGACGTAGATAGTAGCTCTCCGACCGCCATAGCCGTCCAAGAACGCGAGGTAGAACAGGGCAACGACAACGACGTTTTGCTCGACAGCCTTCCAAGTATTTCTATCAGAATCGACACTGTGGACGGTTGCAATGGGTTTTGTCATCACAACGAACGAAATGGTTTTTTCTCGAGTGGCAGTAGCAGCAGCAGTAGCAGTGGCAGTTCTAGTAGCAGTCGGGATGGATTGATAGAATCCAAGAGTTTTTGGAACAGCGTAGCGGGGATTCTTTTCTGGAGAGCTCGAGACCATCAATCGAAGATGCAAATGTCGGCCAGTGTGTTGAAGCGGTGGAAAGACGGCGACGCTGGCTTTCTAGATCGCGCCGAGGAGTGCATGTCAGCATTGAAGAATCGATGCCTGGTACGTAAAGAATGAGATTGCTTTCTCGCTTTTGTTTTCTCCAATGACTTTGGTGTTTACAGGGTAGAAACAATGGCAGGAAGCAGTCAAGCGGTTCCCCTCGTTTGTTTGGTCTCCTCGGTGATCACAGCGGAGCGGTGATCCAGAGAAGGTTTCTGCGAGCGAGCGAGGTTGGGGACGCTGCGAAGATCGGATTTGGAGCGCTCGTGGTGATTGGGCTCATGGGTTTGTACTTTTGGTTCTTGTCGACTCTCGTGCCGCTGGATCATCAGCCTGTCCCCGGCAGCTTCTTGAATTGATTGATCAAAACTCGAAATGGGGTTTTAATAAATTTAAAAATTATCTGTCTAGATTTTATAAGGAGAATATTTTATGTTTATGCTTTTTAAGTAAGTATATTTAGTATAAGTACATACACCTTTTCTAAAAGGCAAAAGTGTTGCGAATCAAAAGACAGTGTGTTTTACAGATTTTATTTTATTTTTGTTTCTCGAATAAGCAAGTTTCATGCGTCCTAATCTGTTGTACGATTGCTACCGCCGTACGGCTGCCATCTATGGATGAGCATTGCAAGCGAAATGAACTTGCTCTGGAAACTCTGATGGCAGACCCACTGTGACAGCAAACCCAATGCTCCCAAACCCTCTTCACGCTCGCCCTTTCAAACACTGTGCTCCATGTAGCAAGAGAGCTTCCTCGGGCTCAAGCTCCAGATTCTTGAGAGCTTCATTGCGTGGATTCAACTTGCAAAGCTCGTGGATGGCACCCTCCAAGGCCTGGCGGCCACTGATCCTTGCAGCTTCATTCAAATCATCGTCGGCTTCGCGAGACAACGCTAGAACCATGCCGTGAGCAAGCTGGCTGATCCACATCCACCGCCATTGATCCCGATGCCTCGGTGGCCAGCTCCACAAGCATAGCTATTTCATGCCTGAAGTTGGGATCGCCACTCACCAGTTGCCGCTCCAAGCAGTGATTCAACGCGGCCTCCAGGAAGAAAATGCTCTTCAACACCAGCAACTCCGCTTCGCATCCAAGCCCCGCCAGAATGGACGCGACCTCCATCCCCACTAAGCCCTATCCCTCCCCTTATGAATAGTTCATTCAGCATCACAAGTAAGTGGAGCCATCACCCATCAGGAAAACCACAAGTGGAGAGAACTTTTGCCATACCTGACTGAGAACATCAACATTGTTCCTGCCTCTCATAAGTTTGATTGCCTCGTCTAGTCTCACGAGAAATTTCAATCATTCTTTTGTGAGATTAGTTTTTTTCTTTGGCTTCATGAGTTTCTTGTAGCCTCTTGCTCCATGCTTTAGGCTTTTCTTCCAGAGCGTCTTCTTTCTATTCAATGCGCACACCATGATCGCCCAAGGAGAGGTCTTGCGGGGATGGAAGACCTCCAACGCACACATGCACACATGACGAGAAACTCTACCTCAGCAACACAAAAATCCTCAACGTTTACACAACGACGCAGCTCTACATTGTTAATGGCGTAGAACGGTGGCTAAACACAGGATAGGTAGCATGCCGGACGTGAAATGGTGTGAGCACCAGCACGTCGTGAATTAACATTGATTGAGTCGCATGCCCGTCCTGCCCAATTTTGCACCTCAGGACCGCGGTTCCAGACACGAGAAGAAGACATGCCACCATTCCAAGAAAGCTGTGGGTGGATAAACCAGTCACTGGACCACAGTGCTGCGCACCTGATTCGTGTCCTTAACCATGTCTGCCCAAGCCCAGCACAAGCCCGATTCCCTAAGTCGAAATGATGGGATGCCAAATGCTGCCGAATGCTCGGATGCGCTCGCAATCAAGCACAGGGAAAACCATTACCGGGATTTTCAAAAGTGGGATTTTTCAAAAATCCGAATTTGTGGCATTGAGCTTCAAGATAGAGGTTGCGGGAACTGGCAGTGCTGGCATTGTGAAGATTTTAATGTCTAGAGGAGCTCTTTAGGTAGTTTCTAAAGGACTAAGCTTGTGCTGAAACTGAACGACGAGCATATGCTTTTACATTCGGTAAATCGCAGCGCATCGCTTGGCTATGATGCTGAGCAGTCTTGGATGGAGGCGCAGAGTGATCTTGGAGAGATCTTGGAGGCAGGATGAGCTTGGAGTAGATTTTCTTTGCGGAGGATGTCCAGCTCAATGATCCGGGATCTTCGCACCTCCAAGATCGCTCACCAGAGAAGTGCTCTAAATCTATGGATGACTCAACCAGTACCCTTGTTGTTCATGGAACAATCGAGGCAGCACCTGTAATACCTCGAAACTCTATCGTCCAGATCAGTCTATTCCAAGTACGCTGGATTCTCATCACTCCTGCTCTCTTGACTGATTCGCCAGTAAAGTTCTTGGAAGCTGATCGTCTGCTCAAGAAGTGGTAAAGTAAGTATGACAATCTCTCTAGTTTTCTCAAACTTCCACTGCTTCTTACGATCTTCCATGGTGTTTTGGTGACAAGCCCTAGAGTCGGAATGATGCACTTGCTTTGAGCGAAACAAAGTGTTGTCAATTGGGTTATCCTTCTCTTTTAATTATGAGCAACACACACCTTTGACAGTCGAGCGTCAGGTAACGTTCTTGCTGTTTCCATCTTAACTACAAACTTAGCAAACACTGTTCTTGAACAGGAACGCAACAAGTCCACTGGCTTGGACGTCCCCATGACTGGAATAGGTGGTTGACGCAAAGGTATTGAAGGTTGAAGGGCTGTTCCCATGCATCCAAAAAGCCACCCACTGGAGATCCATAAGCAGCCGCCGTTCAGTGTGAGTTGTCCAGGGGTATGAAGGTTTACTTCTTGTTTTGTTGTTTCTCTACTTATCTCGTTTGCTTGCTTGTTTCAGGTGGCATGATGTCAAACACTAGACTTTTGAAGCATAGGAAATGGGCTCTCGTTGTGCTCAGCCATGATTGGTAAGTTTTTCTTCTCCCAGAAACTTGTCTTGTTGCTTTCTCATTCTTATGTTTCTTTGATCAGTGAAGGAACATGGTGATGATCCAGAGGCATAAGAGTCAACAAGAACCAAAAGTACAAACCCATGAGCCCAATCACCACAAGCGCTCCAACTACAATATTCGCAGTGTCGCTGGGTTGGTACGCTTGCAGAAATCTTCTCTGGATCACCACTCCGCTGACCAAACAAACGCGGGAAACCATTGGGTTGCCTCCTGCCATTGTTTCTACCCTGTGAACCCCAAGTTATACAATCATTCTTACGTACTAGGCATCAATTCTTCAATGCTGATATGTCTAGAGAAAGCCAGTGTCGTCTTTCCACCGCTTCAACACTCTTGCATCCCCAGTTGATGGTCTCAAGCGCTCCAGAAAGAATCCCCGCTACGCTGTTCCAACTTTTGGAACTCGAGGCACGAAAAGAGAATATTCGTTAAAGCCCGTTATGCTTCTTATGGTCACCAAAAATTCTTAAGAAGGATTCTATGTTTGAATTTTTTATGCACGACACCAAACATTAGATGCTTACATTCTGCTATAAAATGGCGTGCTCTAGAGTGTTAGTAACCAGCAGTTTCGAGCTAGATAGATATATCATAATTCTGTTCTAATGGCTCATACCAATGCTCTAATCTTCCTGACTTCCTTCATTGCCTTCGCTGCAAGCATTGCAGGGGCAGGAATTTCACTTCCTCCCACGCCACCCCTTGCCTCCCCTCCCACTCTAGCCACTCCTCCAAGCACTACTCGCACTCCCCCTCCAGGCACTACACCCCCTCCAGGCACTACTCCGCCTCCAGGCACTCCGCCTCCAGGCACTCCCCCTCCAGGCACTACACCCCCTCCAGGCACTCCCCCTCCAGGCACTACACCACCTCCAGGCACTCCCCCTCCAGGCACTACACCACCTCCAGGCACTCCCCCTCCAGGCACTACACCCCCTCCAGGCACTACACCTCCTCCAGGCACTCCTCCAGGCACTACACCCCCTCCAGGCACTCGACCCCCTCCAGGCACTCCTCCACCCCCTCCAGCAACTCCAGCCACTCCAGCCAGTCCAGGATGTTTCCCAGGTATGGTTCATGTGAATTCATGTTGTTTTCTTCATACAATGTTCAAGCTATTATAGGAGATGCAACTGTTCAGATGTATAATGGAGAAATTAAGTTCGTGAGGGAGCTTAATGTTGGAGACAAGGTTGAATACTTTCACACAAATCTTGTCCAAGTATAACTTTTCCACAGGTTGCAGTGGGCAAGAATATCTATTCAGATGTATATGGATTCGGCCACAAGGATGCTGATGCCATCTCCAAGTTTTTCCAAGTGCACAGCGCTTCAAACATGTTGGAACTCACTGCAGGCCACTTTGTTCCCGTTGCTGTCAATGGGAAGCTCATGTACAAGAGAGCCGAGGACCTCAAGGTTGGAGATTCCCTGTGGGAATCATCTAAAATCACTGGTAAGGAAAGCAAAAAGCATATATATTGGTGGGATGTTTCTAACAATTCTGCGCTACTTCTCCAGAAATCTCAAAGGTTGAGAAGCTAGGCCTCTACAACCCACTCACTCTCTCTGGCAGTATCATGGTGAACAATGTTCTAGCATCCACTCACAGCGAGTGGTTCTTGGACTCCATCTTTGATGCTGTCGGTGCAACCGAGTACCTGCCATACGCATACCAGGCCGTGCTTGCTCCAGTTCGCGCCATCTACAACACCATTGGCAAAGACCTCTATGCAAAGGGCTATGCTGCCATCGATTCCTTCACCAGCATTGCTGAGTTTGGAACGAAGTATGGAGGAAGCGTTGCTCTCACTTTTGGAATTGCTGGTCTTGTGCTAGCCTCCAAGGTGTAAACACTTTCAGCACGAATAAAAATTCTATATAGACAGTGCAATTATTGGGGCATTCCGAGAATAGAACTCGGGACCTCTTGCACTGGTTACTAACATAACTAAAACACTAAGTCTTGCTTGTTTATTTAAATATTATTTAATATAATATATTTCTCTATTATGATTTGTCTAATATGTTAATGCTATTGTATCTTTGATCTATAGTTTTCTTCTATTGTCTTGAGTAATTTTACTTCTTCATTGTGCTTTTAGTATTATAGTTTTTATATGTATATTTATCATTTGTATTGTTAAGTTCTAATAACAAAACTTAATTTATTTAATTAAGATACTTTTTAACTTTATAAATAAGTGATTATAAATATAATTTAAACACAAAATCTCAAGGTAAATGTGATGAAAGTGTCTGCTGTATAATGAAGGTGTTTTTCCACAGATACAGTTGTTTGTGTGACAAATCATGAGAAACCAGCATGGATACATCAAGTAGGATCTGCAGGAGTAAAGTTGGAAGCAGCTTGATTGCTTCGGTGCATCCTCATGCAGTGCACGAATGAGCCTCGGGATTGTGATAAAAGTTGCAATCCCATTTGTGACGTAGAAACTTGAACAGTGACTAGACTTTGCTGATGAGTTAAGCTTCTTCGAATGTCTTCACCACCTTTCCTAGCAGTATGGGGAAGAAAGACTGAATCTTGATCCAAAGCAAAGGAGAGAAAGATCCCTCCATCTCATGAGAGGAGCCTCATTCCAGTGAAGATCCTCATGAAAGCAGATAGGCACTGCATCATCTTGATTCATGTCCTCCTGAATCTGGATCTCATTTTTAACACACCAAAAGAACTTAGAACTGTTGGTTAAGATTTTCAACCTGTTTTCACATGTGATTCACTTCCACCCAGAGAAACAACAAATCATCTGGATTGCCATGGTGAGAATATAGTCTCATGAAACTTATTGTTCATTGCTTATGCACAAGCAGAAACATCTCCTCAAGGTCATTGCTCCCAGACTTGACTCAATCACTTGAATTTGATCAATGTGTTCCACAATCTTTGTGCACAAGTGGTGGTAAGAATCAACATAAATCTACACAAGCTAAATTCCATGCACTTTTTATTTAATTATTTTTGTTATTCTTGTTTGTTCTTGTTTTTATTTAACATCTTTGTGTACTTTAATCTTTGTGATCCTGTTCGTGACACAGTTTTAGCAGCTTTTGCAAGCCATAAGTTGTAAATACATTTGATTCCCAACACACTATATAGATTGAAAGACAAAAGTGACCAACCAAGGAGCCTATTATACTGGCACCAAACCTAATATTTAGACTAAGGCCAAATTTATGTGTTTAAAAAAAGGGGTGATTGCATGATAGAATATAACAAAGTGATAATAAAATAATTTGCTGTGCATTATGCAGTAATGTTTGGTTTGTTTAATAATAGCATACTGGATCTTGATCTTCGGTCATTATAGTGGCCTTCCAACTGATACTCAAGCCTCAGGTACCTGTTTATGGTCAACATCATCTCAGGATTATCTGCCTGGATTTTCTCTCAACAGACTTCTAGAGCTTAGGCACTTGAAGGTGGTATAAAAATGTTATAATTTATAAAAAAGATTAATCTTATTGCATATCAGTAATATAATCTAGAATATACTAGGAAGTAATAAAGTTTATAAATTATAAATACAAGATTAATCTAAATGAATAACAACTGTTAGATAGTAAAATATCCAAAAATATCGAAGTATATTTTAGGTATATTCACTACCACCCTGAAAAAGTAGTTGAAACAACATAAAAAATAAACCTAAAATCATTTTATATAAATATTTTAAAAACATTTATTAGTTTTCTTATATTTATAATATTTTTAGAATATACTAGCTATTTTTCTAAAAATAGTTATATTTTGTGAGTGCATGAAATATGGAAATGTGAGGGCCAACTATATAGCTATGATGCTGTATAATAATATTAGCATAGTGGGATTTTGGTAGCCGTCGGATTGGTTTCAATCCGGACCACTCGCTCTTGTATATAAACTAGGGTTTTTAGGCTAATTGATATGCATATTTTCTATATTCCCCCAAGCACTCACATTGGTGGAGATGAAAGGCACCTTTCATTGTCCCTAAGGAGCGCTTGGATTTAGGATTTTGGTTTAAATATAACTTTTTCCATTTCTTTTCTTTTGTTCTTTCCTTTTAGAATTTTGATTTATATCTAGCTTTTCCATTATTTAAATCTCCTTTTCCTTCTAGTTTTCTTCTCATTTCTCTTCTTCTACTCTTTCCTTTTCATTCATTTTCATGGCAGAGCAACAATCTCCTCCTCTGACTCTAGAGTAGCAGTTGGTGCAATTGCAATTGAACAACCAAACTCAATTGAAGGTGGCATTCATGGCATGTGGTATAGTTCTTCCTGCGCTTGGTGTCAATCCTCACATTTAGCCGGAGTTCTTTCGTGGGAATCCTGGGGATGATGTGTACCATTGGTTTGATCACTTCACGGTGATTGCCACATATCATTCTTGGGATGATGCTCGACATTTGCGTGAGTTTCCCACATGTCTCCAAGGGATGGCACTGTAGTGGTACAATGGCACATTCGGATATGTTGACGATTGTGATAATGCCTTTTAGCAATTGCATCATCTTCGTCAAGGGTCATCTGAGTCGGTGATGCAATTTGGCATTTGTTTCTGAAGCTTTTTGCTTCGTGCGAAGCTAAATATGTCGGAGCAAATCAAGTTAGGAATGTTGTGGCTAGCACTTCATCAAGATTTTGTTGGACTTGTGCATGCATTTTCTCCAACCACCCTTAATGATGCTCTTTGCTTAGCACAATGTTATGAGATGTCACCTTTTTCACTTCTCGCTGCCTATCCTTCTGCTCCACTTCCTATGGGTGATGGTCTTGTTCAAATGGAGGTTGATGTTGTTGCTGCTTGAGTCCAAGGACAAGGGTGAGGATGTGGTTGTGGCTGTGACGTTCGCTATTGGGCATGTGATGAAGTTGGTCACACTTATCAGTGTTGTTGATATTTTCTGGATTGGCGACCCCTATTTCTTGGGTGGAGACTTTGGTGTCAACAATGTCCTGTTGGTGGAAGGTTTGGACACTGAGATGCACCGGGAAACAAGGATTCGTGTGAGTAATTGAGGGACCTGTGCGAATAAGTCAGTGACCCCTCCATCTTTCTTTTGGGAGTATTATCAAGAGGTTCATTCGGCACCGGTTCATCAAGTGTTTACTATCCAAGTTCGTTTTTTATAATAAAAGGTCTCCTATTATTCTCTTCGTATTGATTGATACAGGTTTGAGTTTATTTTCTATTACTCAACCTATTACCACACGTTGCCGTTTACACTTGTGTTATGCAACGGAATTAGTTTTCATTCTTTATGGCAACGGTCGTAAACATGCATGTGCAGAGGATGAGGAGGACTTGGTTGTGTGTATGGGCGACCTTGAGTTTGAGTTGCAGTTATTGCGGGTGATGCCAAATCAAGGTTTTGACCTCATCCTTGGTATGGATTACTTGCAACGCAATCATGTCAAATGTGACTTTAAGGCTTCTCCCCATTGTCTCATACTTCGTTATATTTCATCCATTCCTTTAACTTCTGTACCTCTTTGTCCCTTTACTTCTACTTCTACTTCCATTACTTTTGTTCCCTCACTATTTCCTTCTATGTTTCCGTCTTGTTCTACTCTTCCCTTTTTTCAATCCCTCCAACAATCTTTGTGTTGCAGCAGTTGACTGGCTTATGAAGGAGTATTCTGATCTCTTTGAATTTGACTTATTATCTGGGGCCAAGATTGCCTCATGTCATCCAATTCCAACTGGGGATGTTTGTCCAATCAAGGTTCCTGTTCATCGTCGGTCACCCAAAGAGATCAAAATTTTACATGCAAAAGTCAAGGAGATGTTGGAGAAGAGTGTTATTCAGAAGTTATGGAGTCCTTGGGCATGTGAACCTCATCTTGTGATGAAGTTTGATAGAAGTATTCATTTCTGCATTGATTATCATTTGTTAAACGAAGTGACGATCCCAGATGTGTACCCTCTCCCTCATACTGCTGATCTCTTGAATCGTCTGAGGCGAAGTTGTTGGTTCACCAAGCTAAATCTTGCTTCTGGGTACTGGCAAGTACCGATAGATGAAGAAGATATTCCTAAGACTACTTTTCGTACACCGTTTTGTTTTATATAAGTTCTTGGTGATGTTGTTTGGTTTAAATAATGCTCCAATAACTTTCTAGCGGATGATGGATGAGGTTCTTTGTGATATGTTGAAGGTGATTACTAACTTCATTGATGATGTATTGATCCACTCGGAGGGGACATGGGACGAGCATGTTTGTGATGTTTGTAAAGTGTTGGATCAGCTATGGGATGTTGGTTTAAAGTTGAAGCAATCAAAGTGTGTGTTTGGGTCTAAGGACACAACTTATCTTGAGTATTGTATTTCTCGTGAGGGTTTACAAATTGATCCTAACAAACTTATGGCTGTTCTAAATTTCCCTACTCCGAAGTATGTGAATGATGTGCAACACTTCTTGGGCAAGGTGCAGTATCTCGATCGTTTTGTGGATCATCTTTCTGATTGCACTACATTATTGCGAGTGTTGATGAAGTCATCAATGTCATCTTTCATCTAGTCTCCAGATTGTGAGTAGGCATTCGTGGATCTCAAAGTGCTATTGACAATTCCTCCGGTTTTGGAATATCTTGACTACATTTGATTTTTATTTTGCACATGGATGCTTTTGATATTGGTTTTAGAGGTGTGTTGATGCAACGAGCTTAAGTGTGCTTGATCAACACCATCCCATTGTGTATATAAGCCATATATTACAACCAGCAGAAGTGAACTACTCCATAACAGAGGAGTGTTTAGCAACAGTCTGGGGCTTCAAGAAACTTCATGTATATCTACATGGTTCTCAGACATTACTTAAAGGTGACCATGCTACCATTACTTCATTATTGAAGTGAAATAACCTAGTTGGTTGTATTGCTCAATAGGCTTTGAAGCTTCAGATATATAATTTTGATGTTGTTCATCGCCTAAGGAGTTCTATGGCTAATGCTGATGCCCTTTCTTGAGCTCGTCTTCCTTCTCCACTCTCTTCTCATGATTTTG